CCTGGTTTTAACACACCACACAACCACAACACAGCTTCAGTAATGGTTCTAGTTTTTGTTTTTGAGCTCAAGCCATCATGTGCATCCAGCAAGGTGTCGTCAGTTCGAGCAAGTTTTTCGTATTCTTTTTCAATAACCATGTCGCTGGAACTTTGTATAATGTGAGATTGTTTCTTTTTTTCAAATTTTATTCAATATCTTCAAATACACAATACATAGAATACACACGAGGGGTGGCTGATAATCTATCGACCTTAGGTATTTAGAGATGACACATCATCTCGTTACTGGTAACACTAATTGCGGGACTCATTAGAAGTAGAAATTACACAACTCTCTTTTCAATGGGTACAATAATATTTCGTTCCTGGAAGAAGAGCTCGCAAATTTGTGATTGAATTCCTTGTTAAAAAAGGAAGTGATCCGAAATAAATTTTTAAAGAGCGGTCGGCTGTCTTAATAAGGAGAGAGACCTGTGAAGATGACCCCGCTCGGGGCACCCAGTGACCGTCGTGAGCGAAGAAAATGTTTAGAAATTAGAAATATTATTAATATATTAGCAAAGAACCAGCTGGAGTGGTTTTTTGTGGTTAAGCCAAGATGATTTGGATTTACAGCTGCTTTTCTCGACATCTCAAAAGTATTTTTAGCCGCAAAACCTTTTTCTCGAAGGCTTCTAGTGCCGAATAATCGAATTTCATTTACCTCGCTTCTTCAACCAGTCTGGATGGAAGTAGAACTTAAGGTGCGTTTGTTTAGGTCAATGTTGTAAATATCAACGGTATACACTGGCAGTTGTACATTCTTATATAAGACTGCGTCTTCTGGACTTAGCTCTTTTCCAACTTTTTTACAGGCATGTATACCGTTTACGGGACTATAGCTGAGATAACAACAGCTCCTATTATTTTCTATAGTATCAAATTGAAGAAAACAAATGCTAAAAAGCCACCCTGTCTGAAACCTCATTATAGTTCCCTTTGGCAAGTAATCAAGTAATAATAATATATTATTACCTCATTATACCAGAAAATGGTAGCCATAATCTTCGACGCCGACTTTTCGACTTTTCATTTTTTTTGTTGGCCTTTCGTCTTTTTAAGTCCACTGCATAAGCTCCTGTTCTTTTCCAAAGGAAATTAATCACAAATTTGCGAGAATAGAACCTAATAGAAAAATAGTTGTGTTATTTATACCATTAATAAGTCCCGTCAATAGTAATATCAATGGGGAGGTGATGTGTCATCTCTGGTACCTTAGGTGGCCTTATCATTAGCCGCCCCTCGTATTTGGGATGTAGTCTTTTTTCTTTTTTTATATTTTCCAAATTTCGTGCACACCACGCCTTAAGATAGTAGTCTGTGAATTTGCATTATTTTTAATTATTTTTTGGTAATATTTTGTTTGAGAAAATAAATTCAATCCACTTATTTTGTATTATTTTTTTCTTTTTGGAAATTTATCGTTTTGCAGCACTGAGATAAGGAAGTCAAAGAGATTATTGTTCTGTAGGATCATTATTCTGGCTGAAACTTGGATTGAACAATGTCGTTGTAAAATAGAAAAATGGCTTACTTTCGAGAAGAACGCGTTTCAAATTCTAATAATTTTTAGCTTTCATCGATTCGATTCTTTTAAACCAAGCAACCAGGGCTTACCTTCGAAATGGTAAAAAGTTATCGAGCAAATAATTAGATAATTTTAACTTTGGTAAATATTTTTACTACACCTAATATTTTTCGAACCTTCATGAAGGATGATATTTAACACCTTTCTACAACTAGCAATTTCTTTTCTTTCTTCTGTATAAGGAAATCGGCCAGTAACCTATACATACATACGCGCATACATTATTATAGTTTCAGCTTAGATGATAACCCCAAAAGTATTTAAGAAATCCTCAGGTGGCAAGATCAAACCGTTGTTAACGATCACGTTTAAAATCTCATATGATTGCTTGTTCTTACATGTATTTCAACAAATTACACAAACAAAATGCACAAGGAACCATAAGTCGATCGCAAAATTTTTCTTTCGAAGATTCCCAGGGCCGACTCATCAGCTGTTGACATCATCCACACTTCTGCGGCATATAGTAGGGCGGATATGATGAGCGACTACTAGAGTTTTGTTTTCGATCGCCGAGAGAGGACTTTACTTTTCAATTGCCTACTCAGTCCAAAGTAGCACCTTTTGGCAGCTACTTTTCGTCCAAGGAAGCTCTAAAATCGACGAAAAGGTGCTGGGTGTCGATTCTCTTTTCACGAGTATTTTCCAAGATGTGTCAATGGTTAATTTCCCAGGCCTAAGGCCACACTGAGAAGGTTCAATAAGTTTGCTGACGGTGGGCTTTAGTATTTTGTAGTATTGTGCCCTTCTGTGCATTGGGCATAGTACACTTGGGTTCCAATCGGGGGCATGTTTTCGTTCGATAGTATTCTGCAAAGTAGCTGATCCATGCAACTTGTCAACTCTTCACCGCCATGATTGAATAGCTCTGCCGGTAGGCCGTCAGCCCCAGCCGCTTAGTTGTACTTTAGGCCGGCTATTGCTATTCGGACTTCTTAATAGTCGGGTAGTAGAATAGTCTGTTGCGATTGTTGCTTTTCTACGTCGAATTTTTCTTGTGTTTGTGGATGACACACAGAGGCATGTGTCTATCTACGCACACCATGATCGATATGTTTGTGGTTTTTTCGATCTGGATAGAGCCAAGTAGCTTGGTGAATTTTCTTATACTGGAATGTAGTACTACAGACAACCCTATTACCGGCCCATTTGTGGATGTTTCGTCGTGGAGGCTGAATTTTCCGACAGTTGTGCCGAAGACACCTTCCTTCTCGGATGGCGGTGATATCAGCCTTTAATTAAAGGACTGGACACTGCAGGTGCATGCTCTTAAATCGTAATCCTTATAACACTTGTGGAGGTCATCGTCGAAAGGGTCTCTCATCCGGGCTTTTTTTTTCTCTTTGGAGTTTGTTTTTCATGTGGTGGGTCCCAAGCCCTACGCACAAGCGTATGGGATTCGTCTTCTTACTTTAGCTGTCCCCTAAACGGATTTTTGTTGTCTACCTGGGGGATACTTGGTCTAAGGTAGGATGTTGCGAATTGCTTAATTAATTTAAATGAAAAATTAAGTTAAATTTTATGTTTGCGGTCGCAGGGACTGTAAAAAACCATCCGGTATGAACTGTAAATCCTTCCATTGGAAATACACCAATACGTAGTCTCTTTGACCGCAAATAGAAAATTTAACTTAATTTTTCATTCTTTTGATTTTGGTCGTACCAGGATTTGAGCCGTGGCCTTCCAAAAAAAAAAAAAAATTTTGAGTGGAACCGCCGTGTTTTTTGTATATGTGTGAAATTTTTCTATTTAATTTGAGTATTGTCTTGATGAACTAATATACAGGTGAAGTAAGTAAACAGTTGTCCCTCTCCCCCACGCTGCCTTAGCAGAAGATGTTGCTTTTATAAAATTATATCCCCATATTTAAATAAAAATCTTAGAAAAAAGGATGAGCTTAAAGTTTTTCATCATTGAAAAGAGTAGAGATCTCTACAGATTTATCAATGATTGTTAAAATGGAATTTTGTTGTAATTTAAAATATTTTAAATGAAGGAAGTTTTAAGTAATAAAGCAAATTTTTATAAGATAAACTTACAATAAATATATTTATCTTTAGTCCATAATTGGCCAGTGTCGCGTCCATAGGCAAAGGGGTAATTTCAAATATTGGATTTATATAAGGTTTTAAAAAAAAAAAATCAGTCAAAAATATAACTGAGGAAAACAGTACGAAGTGGTCATAACAAAAACATGCGATCCCCGCTAGGAAGTGCATCATTCAGACATATATATGTAACACATTTACATATGTGTCGATGTGTAGCAGTAGTACATGAGATATTTTTTCCAATTCTTTTTAGAAAAACTATGTAATAAAGGCTATTTTTTAAATAATTGCTCCAACTTTATTTCAATTACTTTATAAAAGCTTTCTTAAAAGTTCCATAAAAACCTTTTTATATTGAAACAATGGACCTTAAGGTAAATCTTTGGAATAATATGAAGTTTTGTGTTAATAAGGCAAAACAACTCTCAGATTCATTAAATGTTGGTTAAGGACTTCACTGACCATTACCAGACTAGACCTAGTTGTATGGAATCCAGACTATCAATTGCATAGAGATGAATTGGAATTTGTATAAAGGCAATTCTTACTTCGTGCTAAGCAACTTACACTAGGACGTGAATAAGATTTTTCCTCTCATTCACGGCTCATTAATCTGCCTTAGCCGCACAGTGGTGCTAGTATCCCTTGAAGATCATCCCGACCCCTTTTATTGTGTTCGCGAAAAACCAATGTTTAAGCAAAGATTTTAATACTCATTCCACCAGGTTTGATTCCTCTTAGCCTTATTTATGCATCAAGAACTAATTACTTCAAATAAATAAGTAATTTTCTTCTCCTTTTTATATGTCAAGTAGCAGCTGGTGAACATCTCTGCTGCTGTTTAGTGTAAGAGGCAAGAGGGTGGTCTAGACTGTCACTGGGTTTTAGTTCTGGCCCGACCAACATCCAAAATTATAGAAAATCCAAATAGAACAATTAATTTTATTTTTTTGTAATTGCAGTCGTCATTCGGCCGGGAATGAAATAAAGGCTTCTCATAAAAATTTGTCAGATGTTTTCGAGGGAGCTTAGAATTAAGTCTAGGTCTCTACATTTGCTGCGAAAACATCAAGAAGCACATCATAAGTATTTTTGAAGAGGAGCTCGGCTGCTCGGGCTGTTAAAAGTTAATTATATAAATAATGTTTGTATACATACATATATAATTTTCAAAAAACAGTTTATTATCCTCAATATTCATTTAAATCCCCCTGAAATTCCCGATTTTGGTTTCTATCCTCTCTTTTTTTTGCTGAGGCAGTCGCAAAGTTTCTTTCTACTTTCTTTACCTGTTTATTATTTCATCATATACTTTCATTTCATTTCATATTTTTTATCATTGAAATAAGAATACTATCGAAGACAGTTTCTTTTATAAATTTCAAGAAGTTTATATATAGACGTGTATGTGTGAGAGTTTCGGTATCGCGTTACTATGTGTGAAAAGTATAGACCATGTGAACAATCCTGGGTCGGAAGATCGGGAAGACCCTTAACGCCGTTGCTTTTGGATTGCTGGCAACGGGAATATGACAAGCGGCCCTACCGGATGTTCCGTTTCAATATTGTTGATTTTGAAGAACGTATGCAGAGAAAGTTCCATGCGGTATATGATTTCCTGATTATTGTTAGCTTTTTAAAGAAAAGACCTCTCTGCACGGCACGACTTACAGGAATTCATTTGTTACCGTATGAACATGAAGTAATACATAGCTTTGTTGAAAGCCTTGCGAAGATTCGTCGTATTGAGTTACGACTAATGCATTTACCTACCATATTTTTTGAGCAGCTTGGGAATAAATTCGCTTTAATGAATGTAAAAGAACTAATTCTGGAAGGTAACGTTTGAATGGATTAAAATTTTCGGTAATTTCCATATAATTTCTAAAGGTACAATACTGACATCGCCAGACATCAAAGCCCTACATACCTTAATTGCAGAATCGCAAACACTTCGACATCTGAATGTGGCGAATTGTAGCGTCACTCAATATGACTTCCCCTTACTAGCCGATGGTGTACATAAATCGAGTTCTATGCGCAGCTTCGTTTGCAATCGACTCATCGGTAAACGCTTAAGTTTAGACACCACAAAAATTGCTCATATAGTGTCCTCACTTATCTGGCAAAATAAATTGGAGGAACTGGAAATGCAGAAGTGTGAACTGCAAGCTCAGGATATGGAGATAATAAGCGAATACTTGAAAGCCACCGGAAGCAAAATGAGAAAACTGAATTTCGCATACAATAGCATCGGATCTGATGGCGCTGAATACCTCTTTCGTGCGATAATCCTCAGCAATAGTTTGACGCATATAAATATTGGCGGTAATAAGTTGGGCAAACATGGCGGCCGAACAGTGGCTATGTCTTTGAGCTCATGTTATTTTCTGATTTATATCAATATTACTTGGAATGATATTTGCAGTGACGTAATGAACTTGATTTTGACTACGTTAAAAAAGTCCGTTAAATTCCACAGGATTGAAATTTATGGTAATAAATTCGATGAAAAATCAGCTAATATTTTACGGCGTCTACTCGATGCTGGTGTTGTACTACAAGAGGAAATTGACGTGACTTCAGTTTACGATGAGATTGTAACCGATTATCGTGTCACACGATATGATTAAAATTCAAAAAGTCAATAAACATTTGGATTATAGAAAGTACAAATAAATTGAACGAATTCATTTGAAATTGCAAGGTATCTTTGGTATGACTCTCGGAAAATTCAGCATTCACAATGAAACACATTCTAATATGTTGAGGCTGATCGACTTCACCGGGGCACGTAGTATGTTTGCCTGCAGTACTAGATTCCATCGAAAAAATACATCAAGCTACTTGGCAGTCTCCTGATCGAAAAACACAACATCAGATCGATCATGCTATGATAGTCGGTAGATATGTATTCAGTGTTCTTGATGTGCGCGCACTCCGACGATCCAACATCGACTCGGGCCACTAGCTTATTACAGCGAAGTTACGTACGCGCTTCTGTGAGTTTCGACGTCGAAAAGCTACAATCACAACAGACTGTCGAGCGGGTTTCTACTCGACTTGACTCTCTGAGAGCACTCATCAGCAGCTCGGTATACGGGAACTGGGATACGTACAGCTGCCTCCCTCGCATCCTAGCGATCGACCACTACAAGAGTAATGCTTGAAAATTCTATGAGAAAATACGACGGATTGCAAAAGAAGTAGAAGAAAATACGTTCCATTACCTGACCTGACGGCCTAACGGAAGAATTCTTCGAACATGGCGATGAAAAGCTGATAAGGCGCATGCATCAGCTACTTTGCGGAAGCATGCCCGACGATTGGAACCTAAGTGCACTCTGCCCAATCCGCAGAAGGGCCTGGTAAATATACCATTGACCAGATATTTACCATGCACCAAATCTTGGAAAAAATCCGTGAAAAGAAAATCGACACCCACCCACGAATAGGAGCAACTTTTACGTCGCTATGCTTGAGTTTTGTTTCGCTGAAAAACTTATACGGCTGTGTAAACTGACCTTAATCAACGCTAAAAGTTCCATCATAATCGGGAAGGACCTCTCCGATCCATTCGGTAGCAAACGTGGTTTCCGACAGGGTAATTCCTTATCGTGTGACTGGAGAAAATAATACGAGCTGCAGAGCTGAATAGAGAAGGTAAAAACTTCTATAAGAGTGTACTGCTGCTGGCGTATGCCGATGATCATGGTCATTGGTCTCAACAATTGCGCCGTGAGTTCTGCAGCATTTACACCAATAACAATGTCAGCTTTGAAATCCAATGCAGAATCATTCCTGCCAACAGGTGCTACTTTGGACTGAGTAGGAAATTGAAAAGTAAAGTCCATTCCCGATGAACGAAAACAACTCTACAATCCCTCATCGTTTCCGTCCAACATCTGATGACTCGGCGTTAGGAGTTTTCGAGAGAAAGTTTTCGCGTAAGATTTATGGTTTTTTGTGCATTGTCAACGACGAATATCGCAGACGATGGAACGATCAGCAGATGAAAAGAAATTCCTCCACTCCGTCGGAAAGAAATGAATGACGCGCAATGTCATAAACTCGGCTTAAGTCGCGTAAAAAAAGTATACTCGTAAGAATAGAACTAAGACATCTTAGTTTTTCATCCTATGAAATGTAGAACTGCTAGCCGGAACTTCTATTGCATTACTAACGGTTGCTTATTTCGAAATTTCCTACGATCTTGCATTGATTACTCAGCATATTAAATTAGGAGACCGAAGAGCATGCAAGCAAATCTACATACATTCATATATATGAGTCTTGGACGAAGTATACATTACTAAAATTTATGAAAAATGTACTTTTCGTCCAGATTGAATTGAGGACCGTGCAACGCGTAACTTAAACAGGAAATTGAGTGATTTTTACATTGTTTTAACTACAGTCATATAAATTTTTTTAGTGTTTTGTAATAATTTAATTTAATAATATGTATGCGTATATATGTATTTATAAATTTGTTGGAAAAAAACAGCAAGACGCATATTCAACAAGGAAAACAACAAAAGTTGCAGGTTTCACATTTTTGACACGGTCAAGAAACTCTTTACACATTCTGTTTTCCCCTTCTGTTACGCTCTCGTATTGGCTTAAAAATGCAGTTAACCGTTATCTATGCTTTTATAACTGCTTATTGCAATCGTTTTGATTTGGTTGTGAAGCCTAAATTTTTTTCAGTGTGTAAGGTGTTTCTTGACATACTGTATATATGTACATAGCAATTTATGCGAAAGTCATTTCCGTAGCGTGGTTTTGAACCGGAAAAGCTATTCTGCTAGCTTTGTATCCAAGACATATGCATACTAACTTTTTCGGAAGCTTTTTTTCATACAAATAATACCTAGTGCAGTAGTTCTGTATTTCGTATTGCGGAATACTACTATTTCTTTGTGATGGGAAAAACGCATTTAAATAGTTGATTCCTCCGTGGAACTTTAAATTTTTTATATTGTATCATGACAAAATGTTTTAAAAATGTTCTCTTATATGGCAGCATCGCAACGTCTATTAACGGAATATAATATTGGTGTTATTATTTACTCTAGTAATTGCCGAGCGGCCGGGAGAGAGAGAGATGTGTAATTCGTTTAGTTGAGTATACGCCGTGACAAATGAGTAGGAGAGACCAACGTCACAGCAAAGTGCCAACCATTTGTGAGAACACTTGAAACGGTGGCCAAAACAATGGTGGTGTTATCCTCTGACATGAAGTTCACTCCTGCAGCATAGTCGAATTGGCAGTTACAGTTTGGTCGTAGAACGCTTGAGTTGCCAAATTGCTTTCAATGCGGCTAAAGTGTGCTTCTGTGATTTCGCTTGAAATTTTTTGAACTTGAAAGTGAATAACGCTGCAATAACGTATGAAAGCAATATATCATTAAACTAAAATTTGAAAAAAGAAAAGCTGGAATCAGAAATGAAAGCAAAGTCAAAAATGCAGTGAAGACAATTTGGAAAGATGCATTTAGAGGCGTCAAAAGAAAATTAGCGAGCAAAAATCAATCAATTTGTATTTGTAGACAACGAAATAGTGATATATGTATGTATGCACATATATAATTGAACGAAGTAGGGAACAAGGCTATGGGAAGAGTATTCTCAAGTCCTGTGATTATGTGGACGAGGAGGAGACCTTCAAAACATTCTTCCAACCACAAATAAAACATTTTACATACACACAACAAGCCCGTATATTCAAAAAGAACGATACGCCAAGCACTGCCGCCTATCTAAATACATAACACTGAGAAGGGAGTCAGGCACTTGAAACTCGCAATTTGCGATTCGCATTTACACAATCACTTTTCGTCCATCATCTCGCAACCCTCCCACAATCCAAGCCAACACTTGCACTTCCATGCACAGTGATACATACACCAACCCGACCGATTGTCATGACTGTTCCTTGTCGCAGGTCAGATAAGTGACATACAAATAAATTAAAGAAACTTTAACATAATAATTGGAAGAGTGCAAAAAATATACATATATATTTCTAATTAAAAAAATAGTTCACGGATGGATCTGTACCACATTAAATAAGAGAGAGCTATTTGTTAAAATATACTGTTATCGAAATTTTTTAATCATATTCATATGTACAATACATCGGACATACATGCTTGCATATGTAAATATACCATTCAAAATACATACATATTCTGTAATTTACTTGGTGGATATTTGTTCAATTTATTCGTCACGAAGTTTAATTAGTGAAAATGAAGTAAGCCGAACACAAATACTGTATGTCTTTATATGTACAATACGTATGTACGTGTATGTAAGAGTATATTTACGTTTATTCCGCTCCAGCGAAATCGCGATTTAGTTGAAAGGTGAAAACAAGGAAAGATCTTGTAGCTGCCAAACAAATAACAAATAATAAATCGGTACTCTTGGACCTCATTGACTGTCACCACAGGCTAACGGAAATAAAAATGAGTGACAGCCGCCGCAATACCGCAACCGAATTCAGTTACATTCTGCAAAGACAGGTAAGATGACTTCAACTTTTTTAAAAATTTTGTAACTACAACATGTTTTACCGCTATGAGATACACACATACGTGTATATTGCGAAGATGCAATGGTAGTCTTTATTTGTATTCCTAGCGATAAGGAGCAAATCAAATTTCGACACCTACAAATTTTATAGCCTACAAATGTCAATATATATGTAAATATGTACAAATTTTTTAATGGTATCAAATGCACTTTTTACACTTTCCCTTAAAACAATGCAAGACACTGGAGAGCTTAATTCGTAAAAAGGACATTCTTCGAGCTGAGTAAAGAAAATTTATCAAATGTATGCTTCTCAGTTGCTTTCAATACGAGTATTTTCTTATCATTATATAAAAGCTTAATTCTCAATGATTAGCCAAACAACGCACAGTATATTTACTTATTGTAGATAATACACGATACCTGGAGGTTCTTTCGAAAAGGGGAAAAGGTTTTATGAGAAAAAGTTAGCTAACGATGATTGTGCGCGGTGAACTCCAGAACTACTTAACCCATTGTAATCGAATTTGAAATTCACCAGTGATTAAATCCATCTTAATAGATATATGTGTCATGAAAATTTAAAAGTCATTCTTATACAAAGCACTGATAAATGTTCTGACATTCATTGCTGGGCTGATAAAAAGTATCTGTGCAGTTGCTTTTAAGAAAATATCTTTTATTTGTCCTGTACATACATACATATAATGTTGCCTACATAACCACACACATGTTAACAGTATTACCCGTTTCCCGTTCTTTTCAAACTTTTTGTAAAAGGGCTTAGGTCCAAAATCTGAACACCAAACCAAATTAATTCGGTTTTCTATATTCATCCATTACTAATGACATCAAGATAGGACCAATTTTTATGTCTATTTCCAAAATTCCCACTCAGGGTATTAACCTCGAAATTTGAAAACGATACCGTTGTTCAATGTCGGAGCAAGTCTTCAATCAAAGCAAATCAAAGGTAAGTTTTTAGTGAGAGAAAGGCCTGGATGATTTGAATATTTTTTTGTTTTACAATAAAATATTGAAATGACAGCTGTTTGGAAGACTACCACATTTCCTCATCAGACTTCTTATGTCTGGGATCTAACCAACGGATCCTAACTTAACAGGCTTAAAAAAGTGGCTAGTTAGTTACTGAAAATGTATAAGCAGGGCTCGACCTACGAGTATAGTTTTAGTGAATTTCATGTTGATAATAATTATTTTTTGAGATTTACCTAAGCACTAAAAAAAAGTAATTATGATTGTGAATAAAAAAAAAATATCGCCAAATAAATAATAACTATTTGCTGATCGTTGATCGAAATATCGCTCAAACTCGTATTATTCTTTTCATGTAAAGATTGTTTGCCAATTTATAACCTTTATAACATCGGCGGCCGAGGTAGCAGAGTGGTTAGCATTGCGTGCCGCCATTCGGGAGACTCGGGTTCAAGTCCCCGTGCGATCAACATTCAAAAAGTTATAGAAAATTAATTTTAATCCAAAATTAGGTTACATTTTCGAATTGCGGATGCCCCTCGGCATGGAATTTCAACCCCTCAAAGAGTATTTCTGACATCTGATAAAGCTCCTCATAAAAAACCATCAGCCGTTCGGAGGCGGCTTTGTTTAAACTGTAGGCCTCACCAAAAAGGCCAAAATCGTAATAATATAATAATATGCATATGTAATATAGTATTAGTACATTAAAAAAAAAATTAATTACTCAGCCTTAAAATTAGTAACGATTTAAGGGCATGCACCTGTTATGTCCGGTCCCTTAATTGTTCTCATAAAGTTAAAGGCTGACATTGTCGCTGTCCAAGGAATGCGATGGAAGGGGTAAGGACGGAAGAAGGTAGGTCCTTGTGAAATTTACTACAACTACAAATTCGTGGTGAAGAGATACTCCGTCGCCAAGTACTAGCATCCTCTCTGGTAGATGAACGAGCGCCTCGAGCAAATCTTTGAGCGCTGCCCCCGGCACCACCTGGCACGACCTCAAAATTGTGCTGAGCGACTTCAACGCTAGGCGGTGTAAAGAAGGAATTTTAGGTACGAGTGTCGGAAAATTCAGTCCACACGACGAAACATCCCCAAATAAGCTGAAGTTGATCGACACGCCAGGGCTCGAAATATGGTTGTCTGTAGTACTACATTCCAGCATGAAAAAATTCACCAAGCTACTTGGCTCTATCCAGATCGAAGAACCCACAACCATATCGATCATGATGTGATAGGCGGAAGCCGAAATATCTCCAGTCATCGTATTCGCGACTCGGCTGTCATGTCACTGTTGACAGTCATAATTTCGAGGTTGTAGATTATTTCGACTATCTCTATCTAGGGACCAGCATTAACCTGATTAAAAACGTCAGTCTTGAAATCGAACGCGTAATCAATTTTGCCAACAGGATCTACTTGGGCTAAGTATGCAATTTAAAAGTAAAGTTGTCTTTCGGGGAAAGAAAACCAAACTCTGCAAGTTACTTACGGTCGTACCATATGCCGCCGCAGCGTGGCCTATATTGAAATCTGATGCTTGCGAGCGATTTATGATTCTTTGCGCATTTGGCAACGGCTAATACCGCAAACGATAGTACGATGAGCTATGCGAGATATACGATGATATTGACACAGTACAGCAAACGAAGAGGCAGCGGCTACGCACTCCAGCTTTCAAAGTGTTCGATGCAGTACCCGCTAGTGGAAGCAGAGGAAGAGGAACATCTCTACTCCATTGGAAGGATGAGGTGGAGAGTGACATGGTTTCACTTGGTATTTCCAACTGGCGCCCGACAGCACAAAGAAGAGAGGAATGGCGTGCTAATATTGATTCGGCTATAATCGCCTAAGCGGTGCCAACGCCAATAACGAAGAAAGAGAATAAAACAAGTAACTTTCGCTGAAAAACTATAAGAACAGTGTGAAAGTGAAACCTATCGTTAGATTTAGGCAAAAATAAACATGAAAAATGAAAACCAGTTGAGAGCCATAAATTTCCAGAAGAATTCTATTTCTGAATGCATCATTATTACAGATTTTCTGTGTACAGGGTGCTTTTGTGTTGCAGTATAATTATTATTGTTTGATTGTTTAAGTAAAACTCGATAATTAATTATTATTGACCAATTAAAATTATAAAAAACTTTTTGATTAATCAGTTCATGAAAAGAGAGCCCATTTGGCCACATTCTGCTGGAGTCCTTTTGGTTATTCTGCTTTTCCAAGCAGATAATTTTTTCCATTAAAGAAAACACTGAGCTGCTTAAAACAATGCTGCTGGTAGTTAAATATCAAGCTGGTGATATCAAAGTGACCGAAGAAAAGTATTAGAGTCATATTTCTGCTCAAACTCAGATCATCAAACTTAAAACCGCCGGTCAATTAGTGAAAGTACAGAAAACCATGGAACGAGTATGCGACGACGAGAATACTCATAGAGATCATAATACTAATGGTAAACACAGAAGTGTTCCAAAAATAATAGCCGAAGCTGTCGTCTATTACAGTAAAATAACTAAAGCTCTAATTTTAGAGCATCTTTTTGGACTTAATTGAGCGGATTAAATAAGTGAATTTCTACGGTGTTATCCAAAAAATATAACCATGATGGCGAACAACCTCAGAGTTCTCCTCAAGCCATTTGTAAAAAAAAGTTCTGAGACAGATATTTTGAAAAGAATTTATTATCTCCAGATTAGAAGGAAAGAATAGGTAAACCTGGCTCGTAAAATGCGAATAAGGATTAAAGAAGACTTTTTCTCAAAGAAATGACAATACAACAAAATCAACTTTTAACTATTTTATAGAGTGGGTAGTGGTTTGACTTAGACGTTTAATTCTGTTGGATTTTACTTTTCAAAAGTTGTTCATATTTTCAACATTGAAACAGAGTTGCTGAACATCATAGAGAAATTAATAAATCTTAATATAGTACCAAAGGTGTATACTCGAATTTCTCTAAATATAATAATAAAACTCTCCTTACAGACAATTTCCATTTAAAATTTAAGTAAGCATTACATATTTACGATAAGCCTATGCAATGAAAATGAAATACTTCTGAGATCATTCGAAAGGGCTGAATATCAAAGTAAAAATGTGTAGGCTGAGTGATTTTATAACCAAAAAATTTGGTTGTCTTAAAACTAAACTAGAATTCAACTAATGTGCTTACTTGTACATGGATACTGGTCTCGCCTGATTAGTCACAATGAAAGTTTTTGTAATTAAAACTGGCGGACCCGGTGAGTTTCTCCTCGCCTTACTCCATACCCTTTTAAATAACTCCAGAGTGATAATGAGATATATGTAGATCGAATACATCAGTCTCAGTTTCACTTCCCGCAGTGAATAATACGTGTATATGCTGGCTCATTGGCATTTCTCCCCAATATGCATGCACAATTTTATAAAAATCGGTCCAGCCGTTTCGAAGGAATTCGGTTACAGACACTTTGATATGAGAGTTGGATGGAAGGTACTAAAACCGCTCTCGATGAGAACATTCGGTTGTGTATTTAAAAAAAAGATTTTTCCTAAAAATGCTGGGCGCCAAAACATCATATCAGTCGAGGGTTCCTTGCCATGGCAATATTAACACGATATACATATCTACGTATATCTAACTGTTATATGCTCTGCAGATGCAATACCGCTGGATAATATTTAAATTTGATATGTTACGCTGTTACACACATGTGCATTGTACATATATATATATATATATATAATTTATTATTCTTAATTTGCCTGACTAATGCAATGATTAAAATTACTTTTATCTGTTTGTGTTTCTACGTTTCAGGGAAGCGATGTTTCCGCAGGTGAAACCCATGCATTTGACGACCTCAATAATCTTATGGAGGTAATTTCAATTAAGTATCTTATTTTAATATTACTGTCCATCCCTAGCACTAAATTAGGTGTATGCAAGCAAAAGGGTAAAAGTATGTAGTTTGGGAGAAAAGTCGTGTGAACCATAAAACAATAATTTGAAGGTAGTTTCATAACCTCTTCTCTTCTACCACTTTGAAATAAGGAATGACTTAATGTACGGAGGATTTTAAGTATTTTAAATGTAATCAATAATCTTAAGATTAGATTTATATTATTACGTATAGAAATCTTGAATTATATTAGCTCTCGGAATAAGTCATCATTGTGGTGAAGGTTTAGGTAAAGGGAGAAGTGTTGACACTTTACATCATTTAACTTTGGTTCAAGCGCTTTCTCTTCAACATATTCAAAACCCCCGGATTACAATATATAAATATCAAGTAGGGGGTTAGATTTATTTCGATATCAGTAAAGAATCATGGTATCAATCATACTCTCCTTCCACTGAGCTCAAAAAATGATGATTCTCGTATCATAGATCAAGAAAAGGACAAAATTTGGAGTCGAGTGTTTAAAAGACAACAAACAGCGAGTAATTGATCTTCTAATTGTGGAAAAAATGCATTTTTATGTTCTCACCGCTCACTGGTCGAAACTGTTTCGCTTATCACATCATCCACGGACTTCCACCCTAAATCTCATGTTATTATATTCTATTTAATTTGCTACTAATGGTTTTAATTTATTAACAATAAAAAAATATTTCAAAAGTTAACTTTAACGGATGATGAATGGTGCTAAAAACCGGATCACTTACAGCAATGTCAAACGAAAACGGCCGCGGTCATAATTGATTATCGACTGTTCCTGTTTGTGGCGAATGATTCAGCTGGTGAGGAATTGGTCACAAGACAAATCGAAAATCGATTATACTAATTTTTAGTCAATAGGGACTAGAGTTTCTATGAGATAGGCATAATGACGTTACCTGCAAAATAACAAAATGTTATCCAGCAAAACGGTGGTTCAAATCCCGGTGCCACGAACCTCCAAATGTTTTAGAAAATTCATTTAAATTAAAAATAAAAAAATATCTGATTGCGGTGTCCCCTCGGCCGCAAATGTCAATCCCTCCGATGGTATTTCGTACATAAAATAAAAGCTCCTCATAAAAAAAAACCATCAGCAGTTCGTTGTATAAACTGTTGGTCCCTCCATTCGTTAGAAAAACATCAAGACGCAGAACCAAAAAGTGGAGGAGGAGCTCGACCGAAAATCGCTTCAGCCGTTACAAAGCGCCAATGATATATAAAATGGTGTACATCAGTAACTAAGGCAAATATAATGGCTGACTTGTTACTAGAACTAATATTTTGCGGCCCATAGTAGAAGATTTCCTTCATTTGTATGCCATTTATAGAAAAGTTAGTTTCTATGTATAAAAAAAAAACTTTAATATTTTATTTTTTAATGAAAATTTATTGAACATCAGCTTTCTTTTGGAAAATGAAAATATTTGAAATTAAAAAATCAGTACAAATAAATTCAAAAATTGAAAATTGAAAATTTTATAATATAAAATAATATAAAAAACATTAAGACGTATACCGAAACTGGCAGGGAGATAGGCAGAAAATCGCTTAAGCTGCAACTACCCATTTCACTCACCAGCCGTCCATAACTGACGACGTCAGTAGTGAAATACATACACGAGTTATCGACGAAATGTTGCCAGCTGCCTGTGTGTTTGCACACTTTTGAACAAATTCATAATTTTCGTCAACAAATTTCATAATTTATTTGCTTGAACATAAACACAAGCAAATATACATGATCTATATGGTAATAAATAATTAGTTACGCATTTATTTTTCATTTCTTTTGAACAAAACTACGCATTATCTTCGATTATTTAATGTTACTTTAAGAAAGGCCATACTGGCAACCTTGTATAGCAACGAAAAATGAGCCGAGCCGGTTTTACGGAAAAAATCAAAACTTCGTTGGTTTCTGCGGAACAACCGTCACTAACGGCATGGGCAAGCGGTGACGACTTTGTGTTTACATGGCGCTCTCATAAGATAGGTTACTATGGACGGCTGGTACGCTCGTTGGGTAGTTGCAGCCCTAGGCGATTAGGGAGTTTCTAAATTACGTATTATTTTTATTGAACATAAAAATCCGTCCCGTTATATTTTGACTACTTCCCAAAAAGCGGATATTAGAATTCTGAAAAAGGCAGCACGCCCTATTAAGGGGGTCAAGAAATTCCAAATTATGAAACAACAGAGACATGAGCCGATGTTAACTTTTTGTGCAAAGCATAATTTTTTATTTCCATTGTCATTCACAGCTTAGTGGGTATTTAAATACGTATGCTAAAAGTTTCTATGTATGCTCTTGACGGGATATGAGGGTGTCCCTTACTTGTGTGGGGAAATGTGCGAATGGCCCTAAAAATAAATGGTTCAAATTTGTTGGAGTATGTCAATCAAAACTTTAATCTTTTTTGATCGGAATGAGATTTTATATGCACGAATATTTAGTTGATCGGAGAATTCCTAGAGGATGAGACCGGGAATACGAACTCTTTATTATTTAAGGGCCACTCTAATGCTCATATGTATGTATATATGTGTGTATGATCCACGCAGATATAATATGTAGGCACGTACATATATAAATTTTATCACGCTGTCAAATTCATTCCTAGGCGAAGCACTCAACACAGCATCAACAGCGCCCACATACTAATGAGGGAGGACAATATACTGAAACGTTGTCGGTATTAGAAGGGGACACATTGTCCTCACTTCCGCAAGCCTCATTCAACTACATAAATTCCATTGTCGGCAGCGGCGTCATTGGCATTCCATATGCACTCCATCGCGCTGGTTTTGGTTTGGGTTTACTGTTACTAGTATTGGTTGCTTACATCACGGATTATTCTCTGATTTTAATGGTAAGTTAAATTCATATTTGTGCTTTTGAAAAATGAGGTTTAGAAACATTCGATGTTATATTAATGAAACATCATATTTGAGAGAACGCTCTCAAAAAAAAAAATAAAATTTTTAAATTCGAAATAAAATTCCATGTGATAATGGAATTATTCTGGCAATCGATGTATCGATCGAGTGTCAATTCTCTCATATGGTCTCGATGGCCAAAGCTACTTACTGAAAATTGCCACCTTGTTAATCGGAGTCGGTGGAGAGTTGGTGTTCAAACCAATCCATGGGGAGAAGAAGGAATTTTTGAGCTCATGCTCACACCTTTCTTCAAACACTTCCAAAGGATATTCAACTTTTCCTTTAATATCTCTTTCTCGATGGTTATCAGGAACATTAGTGATTACATCTTTTATTGAAAGCCATGCAATTAATTGATTTTTATCCAAACTTACTATATATCTTAAAATTTCTACTGTTTCGACTCATCAATAGGAAGTGCTTTGAGAAAATTTTATATCCTTCTTGTAATACACAAACGATCACAACATATACGCCATTTATGGCTTTCATAGTTTACTGCTTCCAGTGGATATTTCACTGTAAATTTCCTCCTTGCGGTCTTGAGTTTTTAAATGAGTTGCACAAAGCGTTGGTTAATGGGTTGGGCTGACTTCTCAACTTTTTGTAAGGTATTCGTTCTGCTCATTTCAAGTTCGAACACCATTTCGGCATCTATGTCTCTTTTCCAGGCGATCTTAGTGTATGTCAAGATATCTTATATTGTCTTCTTGGGGAATATTTAAACCATTTAATATGGTCCCCAATCGTTTACGATACTTATCTAGCACATTTATTATTGACTCTGTCATCCGCGAAAGTGGACGTTTATACTTTTCGGGTTACTGGGATGGCTGCAGTCTACATAGTGTATAATATAGACCCAAGCTTCTACTGAAAACTTCTCAGTGATTAATTCCGATTGTTTTAGATACGACTCAAATATATGAAGAATTGCATATGCAAAGTTTTATAAATTTGGTGTAATAGTCCTTTATTCCAAACCTTGTCAAGCGTTTCTGCTACGTCAAGAAATATTATACTGGAAAATCATCAGGAATATTCTGACAGGCTTTGTTAATATGGTGATCCTTAGTCGCCAGTCTTGTACGTGTATTTTGCTTTTGTAAAATTAACAGATTAATATTTTACTGAGTAACTGGTCGTTACTTTTTATCATTCAAATCAGCTGTTTCTCTTGCTCCGTTGCCTAAAAAGTTTACTTGCTCTATTGATTAAGTCATTTAGAGTTTTGATAATTTCTAATTTTTACAAGCCGTTTTTGCTCGTTAATAAAATTGAATCACCTTTTTGCAAAAGCCACCCCGTCATGGGCAGTATAGGAATAAAGATCACCAATTATTCTTTTAATTTTCAATGAAATACAATAAAATAGCTAAAATTGTGAGTTTTAAGTGAAAGTAAACACGAAAAATAAATTTTCGAATCAATGAAATAAAATCTTTTTCCAGAAGTATTTAATTATTGTAAGAAATGTTATTATGATTAATTTAATTATTATAATTAAAAAAGTAGTTCAACAATCCTGGTCCTGCTGGATACCAAATTCGGACACTATGTAGAGGTAGCCTACTCTCGTGCTTCGAGCTGTTCATTGACGGTGGGCTTTAGTTTTTCCTAAAATACACTGGAAACGGTAATATGTTTTTTCTTTGATGATTAACCCAAAAATTGACGTAGACCGTTGGGTCCGCCTGTTTGTGGATTAATACGCTAAACAAGCAATCACTAATTGAACTTTCATTCCAAACCGTGATTCCCGTATCCTTGATCGGGTACTCGAAACACTATCTCACAGAGTTGTCGCGGGAATATATGTGAGATTCCGAACTGTTAACGGCCATCAGTTCTATATTTATTTACGCAAAAAATATCAAAGTTTGCACCATGACACTACCCAACATAGCGCTTCAAAAGAGCTTATTTTGGTTGAGAGCAGTTTAAAGTTATTTTAGAATGAAAAATATAGTTTTTGAATTGTTTTTATGTAAACTTTCCCATCAAGAGGATCCAAAATTTTTATTAATATTCCCTGCCTAGGAACTACCAGAATTAAAAAAATCGAAAAATGGTCACAGTGACTTTGTGACAGAATTGTTATTATCATAAAAAAGCGGTTTCTTGAACCCCTGCACGAATGAATTTTACATCAAGCCATCTTTGGCAAGATGGGAATATTTTGGCTCTGACCATTAACCCATTGGACCCATGCAAGATATTACAATGCAAAGTACATATATTCCGGATCGTGACTATAAGCCCAAAATAAAATACCTAACAATTTAAGATCACCAGCATATTGGCATACTGGTACCTGACTTAATAGACTACGGTGTTTGAAAGTAAATAATCATAATTTTAATCAACCTATTAATGAGTTTAATAATATAGTCAGCAACCTTAGCAGCTTCAAAGAGAATAAGTAGCATACTAGGCCAAAAAGTATAATAAACACTGAATTAAAAGAAATACTATTAATTAACTAATAATAAAAACATTGCGGTTAAAATCAGCAGAAAGAAAACAGAAAAGCGCGCAATAGCACCCAGAGAAAGCTCCCAAGAGTTGCACTAGCACTGCACAAGTGGTAGGTATTGATCACAGCCAAGACAAGATATCTCCCTTTCTTCAGATTTTGTGAAAAAACATGTAGAACAACAAGAACAAACATCCACTTTCGCGAAATGACAAAGCCATATTACGTCGTGTTAAAAGTCCTGGAAAAGCATAGCTAGCAAACTGGAGAGTTAAAGACAATGAGCAAAAGTGCCAGGACGTTACATTTACATTACGCCCACATGCCCTGCAATTAAATTCAATGGTATAAATATTCCCAGCAAACGGTGTAATATACCTTCGTATACCCTCAGATATAAGGGCCATTTGGAAAAGACATATAAATGCCAAAATATTGCATTTGAAAGGTATCCAGTTGAATATATAATATGATTCTCTAAGGATCATAACAGGCGCTCCGTGCTTGAAAATTGCCCCGAGTTAACTCCAAATAACATGTTTGCTTAGAACTGCCGATAAAACATAAATGATAAAAGACTTTTTGACTGGACTATGATTTTATTATGCCCCGAAATGTTTTCACTGACCATCATCCAGATGATGATGATGAGCCACCCTTGCGGATAATGAAGCTATCATGCATAATAGGTGTAAAATGAATTTTTTTTTTGATTCGACATAAAGAAGAAAATCAATATTCGTGTACTTAAAGCTCAGATATTGGCCAAAAACGGGGAAAATTGTAGCTTTTGTGTTTTTAAGGGGAAAATCAATTATTTTTCATTAATCAAGCTTATTTTTTCGTCTATTCAATAAGAAAAAAATTTGAGATACTAAAATAATATTCCGTTCCCTTGACGAGATATGGTCATGTTAATTAAAAAAGAAAATTCTAAGAATGCACTTGATGCAAAAAACGAGGTATTGCTCTGATTCTTATAAGAGCTAAGAATGAAAAACGAATGATGCAGAAATTCAAGATTTGGTGTCTACATTCAACTTCTGATCACGGAAATCTTGTAGGAAATTTAGTGTAATCCACCAAAAATAATCCAACAGAACTGAGATAAAAAGGCAAGAAATTAAAATATACGATTATTTGTTTCAGTAAGTTCTTCGAAGATAGCCAAATATTTGGTTTCTAAGCAAATGATGGATAAACAGTTTGCTTACCTTGTTTTAATAATAAGTGATATCCTTCCAACTAGGGAAAGCTTTAAACTTTTTTAAAAACCTAAATGTTGGTATTTTACAGGTCAGATGCGGTCATTTATGTGGGCGATTTAGTTATCCAGGTATTATGGAAGCCGCTTATGGGAAATATGGGTATTACCTTTTGTCGATGCTGCAGTTCATGTATCCATTTCTGGGTAAGTTTTTTTTTTTAATGAATTTTGAGCTTTTATCTTCTTTCATTAGTTTAAAAAAAGTAGTCTCTTCATACACGTTGATGATCAGTAGAATATTTCCTGCCGATCATTTGGGATACTCTATTATTCATTTTTTCCAAAAAGAACACAAGAAAAAAACTATTTAACGATATTTAAATATATCGAGGAGTGCAAGCAGTGCGAGCAGCTCGGTGCTAGTTCTTTGTTCAACTGCTGAACAGAACAAAAGCTTTGATATTTCTTAAGTATGTTAAATGATTCTTTCACTTTGCATAAATGAATTCAAAATTTAAAAAAAAATTTTGAGAAAAATTTCAAAGATATTGTTCAAAATGCTTGAACTCAAGCAATGAAGAAGTATGCAAATAGTCGTTGCTCAAATACACGAGCTGCTCGAAAAAGTTCGAATAAAATCTTGAGTTCTAATATATAAAAATCCAAGATTAGATTTTGTAATTAAAATTGTTTGTTTCTAATGAGAGAGGTTTTCACAAATGGCTTCATTTCAAAAGTATCATTTTTTAATTTTTTGAGAGGGCATGACACCACCAGAATTTAGGGGAAACCACTTTTGATATTTTCTTTAGATATAATGTAAGTTGAAATCGGGGTTAGGGAGCTACATAAACATTTTACAATTTAAGTAGTCTACTCTCTTCACAGAAACTACAAATCCTGCACTTTTGATTCACCACCAGAACCAGCTCTACCATGAACCGTAATACGGTCGACACATGACGATTGCAGTCTTACAATATTCGCTTTTTCCTTTCCTTCAATACTCATATGTCCGGTTAAAGTCAAATGGTGCACTTGTATTATTTTTTATTCAATGCCTTCATTTAGCTAACATTTAAAAAACAATGTTTCTTTATATTTAATAATTTCAAATGGACGTATCCCCTAAACGCTTTACAAGTTTGCACATGCTGAACTTTTTGAGAATTTTTATTCTTCAATTTTAAAGTAATATACTCGTACATTTGTATGCAACTGTAGCTTAATGGGATAACCATTGGCTCGAATAAAGGTGACTGTAAAAAGAAGTCTGGTGAGGAAACGTTGTGGTTTTCGAAAAAGCAGCATAGCCGTCCAAAGCTGTAAACTAAAAAACTCAAAAACAATTCAACAGAATAATGACCTGAAAAGCATGTTGTAAATAATTTACTCCGTCATTGCATTCTGTAAGCAGTGGCTTTTCGAACACCTGGGCATCCAACTTTTCCGCTCTTTTATCATGAAAGGATCTCCAAAAATATATACCCTTAGAAATAGAGGTTGACGTTAACATACAAACACCACATTATCTATGAATTTCCTTACACACAATAATGTTGAACATTGCATGTTGCATTTAACGTTATTTTTCAGCTATGATTTCGTACAATGTCGTTGTGGGAGACACTTTGTCTAAGGTTCTAGTCCGCTTCTTCCCATCATGGGGCACTTCAATGGGTGCAGTCCGGATGGGAGTTGTATTCTTCGTTACCGTGGGTGTTGTCGTCCCATTATGTTTGTATAAAAACGTTTCCCGATTAGCCCGCGCAAGTTTCATCAGCTTAGCCTGTGTTGTTTTTATCTTGTTCGCCGTAATTATTAAGCTCTTATCAGGGGATTACACCGTGTGAGTATATTGATTTTATGCAGCTCTTTTATTTACTTTAATCTATGTTTAATGTTACTGACACAGTCTGCACAAAAGCAATTCAGTTCAAGTTTTGTGACTATGGCTTACTCTTTGCTTTTTATTTGCGAAAGAAGTTATTTTTTTAAAAAGCTATTTTTTTTTTAATAATTGAAACATTATCTTTTTATATTTTTCACCGGTCAAAAACTAATAATTCTTAAGTTTTTTTCTATTGCTTATGAGTCGAAACTTGTGAGATATAATGCTCGATTTTAACATGATCTCGGGTTGTTTTAAGCAAACCATAAATTTCAATTAGTTAACACCCCGATCCCATTTAAATCATCACTGTGAAAGTGTTAAGAATTATTTGAAATCTATTTAGTTAAATTATTACTCATTAAATTATTATCCGATAACTCTAATTGTAATTTAAATTTAAATAAGAGAAGATATTAGACACAATTAAATATATATTTCACAGCACAGTCGCCTCTTTATACTGGAATGACTAAATTTTTATCCAGAGAAAGCAACACTCACTTTCAAACATTCCCATTTATATTTTTATTTTTGTGGTTACAACAGCAGCAGAACAATTCGAGTACATTTACCTGCATGAATATGTTTCAAAAATGGCTTAGGTACGAATGAAATGTAGTCGATCTAATGCTTCCTATGCTTGGTATGACTAAATTTGTAAGATATGTTTACTTTAATGTAAATTATTACATAACTACTTAACTTATGTATGTATGCATGTAAATATATATGTATATTATATTAATCTATTTTTTTAACTAAAGCGTGGATACGCCAGACTCTTGGAGATTTGCCAACGTTGATTTGATTCCAGCTACAGGTATTATGGTATTTGGTAAGTTTTGCTCAAAAAAAAAAAAACAATTTTTTCATGTAACAAATTAACACATAAATTTATTAACAGACCTTATGCCTATATAATAGTATGGGTTTTCAATAAGTTTTTAATTTTGACATGTAATTTCAGCCTTTATGTGCCACCACAACACATTTTTAGTTTACCAGTCAATGAGAAACGCGACTCTGGAACGTTGGGAAAAGGTTACGCACATTTCCATAGGGTTCGCTTTAGCAGTGGCAGCTCTGTTCGGCATTGCTGGATATTCTACTTTTCGCGCACTATCGCAAGGTACTTATTTTATACTAGAGACATGGAATTACAAAATGGTGCAAATAAAATTTGTAGCTGATTTTTTGAAGTGATTTATTTGCATTAAATATTTTTATATAACATAAAAACTTCTTTGAAAGAAGCAAAAAACTATATACATACACATATATTGAGCAAAATCGAATCGAGAACCGGGTATTACTCCCGTAAAATACAACAGCGACCAGCGGTTTAGTGTGTGGGGTGATCCATCAGACATTCAGCCCAAAGTGTGATATATACTCGTATGTACATATGTATATAGATATAATATTTATAAAATTTCAATTTCTATAAAATATGCTTTCCTGCAAATTCCGGATATCTACCTGCTTTCATGACTCTTCCTATATTACCAACGTGTACATAACGTCGGAATTTATACAAAGTTTTTGGGAGTGGTTCACAGTTTCAAGCTGCCACCCAAGCAGGAGGCGAAGTCTTCTTAGGATGAAACACTTACTTAAAAATAACTTGACAGCCTGTTCTTAATAAATAATTTGTTGCTTGTCTCTAAAAGTTTATTAAGTTCTATGATATATTATATTGGGTTGCCCAAAAAGTAATTGCGAATTTTTTAAAAGAAAGTAAATGCATTTTTAATAAAACTTAGAATGAACTTTAATCAAATATATAATTGCCATTTTTTTCGATAATCTTTTGCTATCCTCCTGGCAAATTTAGTATTCCACGCTCATAGAACTTCTGGCCTTTATCTGCAAAAAACTGAACCAAGTGCGATTTTATAGCCTCATCATTGCCGAAAGTTTTACCATTTAAGGAGTTCCGCAAATATCGAAATAAATGGTAGTCTGATGGTGCAAGGTCAGGGCTATATGGTGGATGCATCAAAAGTTCCCAGCCAAGCTCACTCAGTTTTTGGCGAGTGACCAAAGATGTGTGCGGTCTAGCGTTGTCCTGGTGGAATATGACACCTTTACGATTGACCAATTCTGGTCGCTTCTCCTTGATGGCAGTAAACATCCGAATTAATCGTTTGGTTCCTTGGAAGCAGCTCAAAATATACGACATCCTTCCAATCCCACCAAACAGACAGCATAACCTTCTTTTGGTGGATATCAGCCTTTGAAGTGGTTTGAGCTGGTTCACCATGCCTGGACCATGATCGTTTTCGACTAACGTTGTTGTAAGCAATCCATTTTTCATCTCCAAATATGATTCGTTTTAAAAACGGATCGAATTCATTGCGTTTAAGGTGCATATCACAAGCATTGATTCGGTGTGTTAAATGAATTTCTTTCAATACATGTGGTACCCAAATATCAAGCTTTTTCACCAGTCCAAGACTTTTTATGTGATAATGAACGGTTGATTTTGGTATATTTAACTTCTCTCCTATCTCACGCTCAGTTACATGACGATCCAATACGTTTAATGCTTTGATTTGGTCATCATCAACTTCATTTGGCCGACCTGAACGTGGCTCATCTTTAAGTGAAAAATCTCCAGAACGGAATTTGCGAAACCAATTTTGACACTGTCTTCCTTTTAAGGCTTCATCACCATACACATCTCTTAACTTTTTAGCAACCTGATCCGCGTTTTTTCCTTTACGGAAATATTAAAGTAAAATATGACGAAAATGCTCCTTTGTGGGCTCCATATTAAAATTGACGCCAAACAAACAAATGTAAGCAAAACTTCGCGCACTTTTTTCTAAAGCAAGCTAAAAGTAACAGCTGATAATTGACAGAAGAAAAAATGCAATTACAGAGTCACAAGCCGTTGAAAAAATTTGTCAACGCCGACTATATGAAAAATCCGCAATTACTTTTTGGGCAACCCAATATATGAACATTACTTAATTATATATATAATTATATTAAAAAATATTATTCATTTCAAATAAAATAATTTTTGATAAATATGTAGTGTTAGGCTAGAGAAGGTTATATGAAGGTATACATTGGGCTGCATGAAGGAGACTAGGGATCGCGGAAGGCTTAAAATATGGCCATGTGGCTTAAGGAAAATCCCTTTTGTATTAGATATAAACTCAGAGGTATACATATTCCTGCCCAGTCTTTCTATGTGCTTTCGTTCTTGCTTAAATACTAATATGTTTTTTCTCTGAATTTATTTTTAGGTGATTTATTGGAAAATTACTGTTGGAATGATGATTTGATGAACTTTTCTCGAGTGCTTTTTTCTGTATCAATTTTATTGACCTTCCCCATAGAATGTTTTGTATCCCGAGAGGTGGGTTGATCTGAAAGAGATTGTTGTATGTACGAACGAGTATGTATTAGTAATGTCAAATATTTTTAATATTTCAGATAGTTCGTGCTTTGGTGCATCGCTTTGTATTGAAGGAACCCATTAGTGAGTTTACACTAGACAAAGATCCAAATCTGGAAAAGGGTGCGGACATCGATGAATATTCAAAAACCATAACTTTGGCTATAGTTTTCAGTGCTTTCATTATTTCACCATTAACGGATTGCTTAGGTTCTGTTTTGGAATTAAATGTAACTACGACTAGCATCGATTTTATTATGTGTAAAATGGTAATACGTATGATACTTTGCTTTATGCTTACCATTTTCAGGGTCTTTTGGCGGCGATTCCTTTGGCATATATTTTACCTGGTCTTGCTTATATACAAATGGAGTCCCATTCTCTCTTCAGTAGGGAAAAGTTGCCGGCGCTCGGTTTGGTTGTCTTCGGCACTATTGTCACAATATTAGGTGTAGCCGTGCTATTGCCCGGCCTCATGGGCGATTGTCGTGCGGATGTGGTCATGGATTATTGTAGGCAAGAATTTACGAACGTGGCAAATACAAGCATGACGGTTGCGACCATTAAAAGAGGAAACTAATATGCTTTTTAATCTTTTCAAATTGTTAATATATACACACACATGCTTACATCAATGCATTTCAATTACATACAGGCATAATAACAACACCCAAAGGCAATCGTATGCATATAACATTGATATCTGCCGGTTGCAGGAACATCCATTTCCATTTTAATCGTGTGGTTCCATAGATCGTTTGAATCTTTTAGCTACATAATTTTGAGCATACAAAGCAATAACAGAGTAGTCTACATAAAAATTGTTATAACTCTTTAGTCAAAATATACATACAACGTGTATGTAAATGCGAATGCGTTTTGCATTTTGTGCCTATGGAGGCATAGAGTTGCATGAAGAATATTTTTAATGATTGTAAATTCTCATACTTTTTCACTCATTCTTGATGTGTGCATATTACATATTTTAACAGACATATGTATGTACATTAACTTATACCTATATATGTAAACATGTACCTGCAATGTACTTACATACGCTCATACATACATACATATAAACATACAATACATTTATTAATGCAAATATCTGTTAGGGAACGTTTGAACTCATCATATAAGCACTTTTTAAATATGTATGTAGATTTTGAATGATAGATACACACTTACACATCCCAATTAGATATATGGAACGACGTAATCGTTTTCAAGGCATTTCAAACACATAACCTAAAATATTCGTAGGCAACCTGTTGATTTGGAGCAAAAAATCTAGTTGTTTGTTTAAAGAATTTTGCCTTCGAATCCAACTGCATATCATGCAGTGAAGGAAAGGGTTGCGAGCAAGATTCCCTTCAGTTTATATTTTATACATATTCGTCTTCCGTGATTTGGAAGGAGATCTTCAACAGTGTAATCTTCTACAATGGACGAGTGTTCGACCATGAGCTAGAAAGATACTAGACCATCCTGAAATGAATATATGATGTGCAATACCAAGGCGGAAAAGTTAACACATCTGTTAGCTGGTAAATCAAAATTCAACACAACATAGATACACAGGCACAACTTTATTCTACAAATTTTATGTCAGACCATACATATACACGCACTGTAGGACTATCAGAATCGTTTTTAGAGTAAAATATAAAGCTCTTAGCAACGTTAATCACCCGTAGCAGATTTCAATGCATACAATTCTCAAGTTAAAAGTGTAGAGAAGTGTGAATTCCCATAGGCACTGAAGTAGAACCATAAATTGCTATACACACAGGCATAAATATCACATTGGTGATACAAATTTACAAGGAAAACAGTATGTGCAAAAAGAACTATTTTAAACAAAAATAAATCTTAGTTTTGATATTATATACATACGTGTACACTCATACAAGTATATACTGTTAAGTCGTTTTTGGCACTTAATTAATACGAATGCACTGAGAACTTTTGTTAACTCATTGTAGATTAACAATTTTTTAATGTTTTTATTAGAGCTGAGAATATTTGAAATGAAAATAATTAGAACTGTATAAATATAATGCTTTATTAATTGGGCATGTATGTAAAGATATCCAAACTCTTTTATATACATACATACATATACACATAAATAACATATGTGCATGCATAAGTAACAGGATGACAGGATGATAATTTGTGAAAAATAACATTAAAGACAGTTCCATAAAACTTAAAAACCAAAAACAATTCAACAAAATAATTACCTGAAAAGGTATATAAAAATTTATAGTTTGGAATGATTGTTATCTCGACGTTTTGAGACTGAATGAAGTCGGAAAACACTTTTTATATTCAAAATCAATTACCGCATTACAAAAGGATAAGCAACATTACAATCAATTTTATAAAAATATACATTTCGCAAGAGGATGAGAATATTTAAACGACATAAATTACATATCTGCAACTTTTAAGGCATTTCACTAAGAATTTAAGCCAAGATCTTCTGAATTTTGTTGCCACAATTTTTTACTTACCTGTTGTGAGGTCATATGCATATGTAATTTTTGTGTTTATCTTTTAGTTTTTTCTCAATCACTGCTTTATCATATCTGTTTTTACAGTTGTAGGTATATTTTATTAAAAGGGAACATGCCGCCAATGACATAAATTTGTTCCAGGAACTAAATACATTAGGAGTTTTAGGTCACCTGCTTTCAGTCAAAACTTTAAAATAAAAAAATCTATTAAACAAACTGCGATGTATTTACATTTTTCTTCTGAGTCAAAATCAAATATTCGTGGCCTACACAAAAACACAATAATTTATATACCAATACCAAGTGGAATAATATATTTACAGGCCCATTCTCACTGTTACCGGTAAAGTAAATTTTGTTACTTTTCTTTAACAACCGGAATTGAATTTGATATTCTGGCGAACTGGTTACAATATTTGAAAAAAATTTGGCAGCACTGTTTTTTTCGTCCATGTCAAATAACATTTGCCAAGTTGATAGAGTTAAAAAAAATTATCTCCATCAAAATGGAAGAGAGAGCACAAAAAATTAAAAATATTTTAACCTAATTATGCAAAATATGCCTGGATAACAAAAAAAGCTGAATCAAAACGTTAACTTACAAATAAAAAGGCTATTTTTTAGTCTCGAAAACTTCTTAAAATACGGCTTTTTGCAATTTTTTCCTCATCTTCAATGGATTCCAGGCCTAAAATATGCCTGCCCATTTTGGTTTTTTATTTTTTCTGAAACTTACAACACAAAATCAAACAGGATTTATTTTTGTTACCTCCTATATCGCTGGTAACAAAATTTACAGGGTAACAGTGAGCTCAGAATACGAAATGGCAACAAAATTTACTGAATGGTTAATTTTAATACCTAGATAAATTTTGTTACCTCCTTAGAATAGGCCTATTAAAGTAGTAATAAGTTACTAACGGAGCGTTATATTTTGAACTGTCAGATAATTCCGAGTCATCCTAAACGAATGTTTATGTACATATGTATGTATACAAAATAGAAGTATATTAAAGAGAATTGGAAACATGTCCACTAGTTAGTATTAGCAAACGTAACTAAAAGCTTAGCAAAAGTTCCTGGAAGTAAGTTCATAAACTAATTTAATAACATTTAAATGCAACATGTTATCTGGGCACAAAAATATACAAAGAAGACTATGTACATTTATTTTAACATATACAAACATATTTATAAGAATAACGCTAGTGCATGCGAATGTAATGTACATACACATGCCTACATACACATAATCGAATAAAGCCTGGACTTTCACTTCTTCATATTTATTGTTATTACTAGAACGTTTACTCACATTACGGAAATTTTTTAATTTTCATATTGAAAACATGGCAATCGTGAACCCTTTGAAAAAGATGAATACAATTGTGCTTCATATTCGTTTAAAGCCTAAAATATTGACAAAACGAGGGACTTAGAGGGCAAAAAAAAAAAAACCTCGAGACGAAATATATCCTGTCCTCAAACAAACAGTCCACCTACGTCACTGTTGACAGTCATAATTTGGAAGTCGTAGATAATTTCGTCTACCTAGGAACCAGCATCAACATCAACAATAATGTCAGCCTTGAAATCCTATGCAGAATCTCTCCTGTCAACAGCTACGTTGGACTGAATAGGCAGTTGAATAGTAAAGTCTCCTCTCGGTTATATGGCGCAGAAGTGTGAACGATATCACCATCTCATAAGTCGAGTCAAATGAAGAGACACTGGCTACGCTGGTCATGTCGTCACTCCAGCTTTGAGAGTATTCGATGAAGTACCCGCTGGTGGGAGCGGATAAAGTAAAAGATATCATCTCGGTTGGCGGGATCAGGTGGAGAGCGACATGGTTTCAATTGGTATATCCACGTGGTGCCAAACATCAAATAGAAGGTATAAACAACGCAACATTGGTTGTCGAATATATGTTATTGTTCATATTTGACTCGTGCATAATATTCAGCTCTCGAATGAAATGTATAAGTGGCTTTTGTTGTAGCCGCAGTAAAATTCCGCAAACTTGTTTTCGGAGAATTCCGCGGGAGTCACAAACCTTGGTTGGACTAGAAAATCCGGGTGATCTAAAGATCCGAATGGCTTGGGCACTATTGGATATTAGTTCCCTTTTACAAAAGGCACACCAGCAGGGGGCCATTTCGCCACAAATAATCGATGCACATGCAAATTTTTTTTTTGCGCTTGGTTCCATTGAAACGACTTTCGTAAGCCGCCTCTAAAGGGCTAAAGGAGTTTTATAGCGAGCTGTTCTCACTTCAGAAATACGTTAGCAGTGGTTGCCAAAATTATTTTATTTTTAAATTAATTGTCTGTATAATTTTGGTATAAGACCGGGTCAGGGCTGGAATACTTGACTTTCCACCCACATCGCCAACCACTGGGCTACTGGCTGCCCGTATATAAATAAAAAAGAAAATCTCTTTAAAATCGTAATTATTTGGAGCATACATACTTATATTTCATCTTCTTTTAGAAGTTTGCCTCAACAATTTTGACACTCAATCGTTCATATAAACACCTTTTCAAATGCTGTCTACTCTAAAGAGCTTTATATACATATCAAAACCTTTTATAAAACCACCCATGGAAAATCTTATATATGATAATTATACATTTCAGAAAATAATTGAAAAGTTTTTGTAGCTTGCAAATCGTAGCGAGTATTCTTACCGTAGTATACAATATGTAGAATTTATTCCATGCCAAAATTAGTCCGAGTTCATGGCACTTATTTAACATACATATGTACATATTCGTACATACATACATGCGTATGATGTTTATAAATAAATTTGTATGTTATGAACCGGTGAATTTTGTAAAAGATGACATAACAAAGATTCGTTCATTCATGCTTGCATCCAGATATATTTATATGTATTTGTAGATTAAATTAGCTTGGAAAATTCATTAGAATATGTTTAGGGAAGTGCAAAATATGCATAAACTATTTTCTCTCTTGCCATATTAAAACAACTATGGAGAGCGTATGTAGCAAATGAAACCGAGAAAACAAAAAGCATTTAAATAAAAATCAAAAACGAAACAACAAAAAAAAAACCAAAAACCAAAAAGCAAAAAGCAAAAAAGGGAAATGTATTTACTTTTGATGTGCGTTCTAACTAGCTCAAATAAACTTACCTTACAAAAATACATAGATATTCATATTTAAAACAAGAATAAATATATACATACACTCATACATACTTATACAATAGCATACATATATAAATATATGTAAAAAATATAATAGAATTTATGTAAAATACTAAAAATTAAAAATACAAAGTTGAGAATAAATTAATTGAATTTAACTTAAACAATTGAAAATATGAATTTTTTATTTAAATGTCAAGAGAGAAGGGCGTGGTAAGTTGATAATCAGTGATTTGATTTCTTATCCTTTAATACCCTGGTTAGCAACCTTTCTCAAGACTTAAATATTTTATAGAAACCACATTGTTAACCTCAGCGGAGAGTTTTCCTATCATGAAACCTAGCAACCAACCGCCAGTTATCACTTACTCATGCCAGAAGCAGACATTCACACTCCTAGCCATGTGTCATACGCAAAGCAAGTTAGACGCCGCCTAAGTACTAGCCCTGGTTCCAAGTCATGACATGAAAGCATCCAAAATGAATTTTTTAATTTTTCTGAATCTTTTGAAATTGAATCTTGGTTATTACACACCGTTGGCGGCCGTAATAACATTGCGTACTGCTATTCGGAGGGCCAGGGTTCGACTCCTGGTTTGGCCAACTTCCAAAATTATAGAAAGTTAATTTTTCTCCTTGGCAGGGAACGTCAATCCCTCCGAGAGCATTTCTGACTTGAAATAAAGGCTCCGCTTTAAAAAACCATCAGCCGTTCGGCGGCTTAGTATAAACTGGAAGTCTCTCCATATGCTGGAAAAACATCAAGACGCACACCACAAATCGGAAAAGGAACTCGGCAAAAATCTCTTCAGCGGTTCCAAAGCGCAAGATATATATCCATGGCTTTAGAAAATATTGTTTACGATCTTTCAGCTGAAATAAAATGTTTGGATCGAAATTATAAAATGAAATTGAACAGCTTAGGCAAAATATGTGGCTGCACATTATCGATTACACTGCTTAATGTTTTCAATATGATCTACAAATATACCCATTTGAGATTGGCAGCGACTGATGCCGAATGTGCCCGAATACGATTAATATGGGTCTACTATTTCGGAGATTAACAGATCTGCAGACAAGCAAAATCGATCGCTTTAAAATTTTCTTTTACATGAAAATTTCAGTTTTTGTCATTGAAATTGTTTCATGTGAATCCACTCTTTGATAGACTGTTAACACCTTGATTGATGATCTATAGATACCTATGTTTTTGAGTGGAAACAAAGGAAACAGAAGACAATCTTGACAAAGTATGAAAATATATCAAAATGATCGCCCTTCTTTTAATTGAATTATGCCGTTCTGGATTATGTCTTTCGGGATTTTGTTTTTAGAAATTTCGAAATCTCGGGATTTCATTATGCATCCAAATTCAACGCCTTCACTTTGTTTCTATTGGGTTTTTGTAGTAAATAAACGTCATCATCATTTTAGATAAGAATGTTTTAATTGAAGCTCATCTTATTTTGATTGCTTTTAAAATCGGGTCGAATATACTGAAATGCGCCGGATTATGTACGTTTAGTGTGATTTTGAACGCTGTGAGTGCCACAACTCTGAATAATTCTAGGCAGTAGGTAAAATGCTTTGGCAAATTTTTGGCTTCTTGATAATTTCGGTCGTCACATCTAATACCGTAAGTGAGGGTCCAGATTTTTGAATTGCAAATATATAGTAATATTGAAAACGCAACATTTGCTGATGGTGACAACCTTATACAATATGTGTGCATGTATGTGTTGATATTTGCAGGTTACCGATGCAGCTGCAACAAATCAAGTGGATCCCAAACAATTCGTTGCTGATGCCAGCACACGCTATTACAAACTTTACAATCAAATTGCAGAGGAGACATATTCGTCAACTGATGATGAAGACTTTAACACGATTTTCACGAAACTAGCCACGGTAAAAAGAATAGCGGCGGAGCTAGTCCAAATATCCGAGGAGGCTAGTGAATACAACTTGGAGAGCATTCGCGATGTGCAAGTCAAAGCCGCATTGCAAAATCTTCGGAGAGTTGGGGAGCTCTTTGTTTTGGGCGAAGAATATTTCTCGTCAGTGCTGATAAACTTTGCGGCGCTAAAAGAACTTTCGACAGATAAAGACATTGAACCATACCTGGGTGGGGCGAATATGAAAGACCAAGATGATAGCCCATTGGCTTACTACCCCGATATACAGAAAATCTTTCAGCAAAGTAACGATTCGGATGAACTGAAATATTACTGGGAATCTTGGCGGGAAAAGAATTTGGTTTGGTCTTCTATAAATTTCTATACGATCATTGAAGCTTTTCAAAATGCCGCTAAGATCTTAGGTAATACATTATTAGATAACATTTATTTTATTTATACACATTCTTATGTCTTATATACACATACATGCATATATACAATGCTTTATTATTACACAGATATGTCAGTTCTTGAATTTTGGTTTCGATGCTACAATAATAAGGAATTCCTGAAAGAAATGGAAAAGGTAATGGAAGATATTAAGCCGGCTTATAAGCAATTACACGCATTCATTAGGAACGAGCTCCTTAAAAAGTATGGTGGTAGCGTTGTGAATCCTAGAGGCCCTATTCCTGATCACCTATTCCAACAAGTTCGTGAGCAGGCATGGCAGGCTAACAGTGTCATCGAGCCGTACTTTTCAAAGGCAAGTCTCCCACCATATGACACATTTGTAGCACATTTTGAGCCCAGAAGTATGATAGACGCAGCGGAAAACTTTTACAAGTCCCTCGGATTGACTGAATTATCCAGCGAGTTCTTCGATAAGCAATTAAAAGAACAAGACGAAAGTGCTGAAAGCGGGGACTGTCGAGCGGATATATTCGATCTAACTCCATATGTATATATGAAATATTGTAAGAAGGTGGAGTTTAGAAAGTTCTTGCAGACGCACGGATATCTTGGAAGGGTACATTACGCCAGAGAAAAACGTAATCTTCCATCGTATTTCTTCCCTTCGTATGATTTGGAATATCCAGTGGGAGAAGCTGTGATCCTATCTGCTTCCACTCCAAAACATTTACAAACCATCGGACTATCTAAGGATTTCCAATTTACAGAGCCCATACTTATGAATCGACTATTCAGAATGGTAAAACTTGTTTAAATAGTTTCTGGCATTTAGGTTGATTTTTTACTTATTGCTTTAGGGTATACATACAATGTTGAATATACCGTTATACTTTGTACACACAAAAGTAATGAATGATTTACTGAATGGTACAGTGGAAATCGAAAGAATAAATAAACATTATTGGGAACTCATGGAAAAATATGCTGGTGTGGAGCCACCCTCGGATCGGCCGGAAAATGCTATTGACTTTCCTTATAGCTTTTACTTGGATATGGAGGAAAACCATCAGACAAAGTATGTATAACTGAAGCTGTTAAATGTATTTTAGATGGAGTAAGTGCTGCGGATACAGTTGTTTCTCCTATATGTGTATGAAGGACGATCCAAGGACAATAGATTAACTGGAAAATAATGCGCTTATTCCTGGAGCAGTTACCGAGAGGCTAGCTTAGCGTACTGACATTTGGGAGGCTCGGGCTCAAATCCCGGTGCCACCAACATCAAACTTTCTAATTGCGGTCGCCCTTCGACAGGGAATGACATGAAATAAAGGCTCCTCGTAAAAAACCATCAGCCGTTCGGAGGTGGCTTAGTATAAACTGTAGGTGGCTCCATTAGTTGGAAAAACGAATTGGAGCAGGAGTTCGGCCGGAAAATCGCTTCAGCGGTTACATAGCGCCAATTATTATATATTTCGGAAGTATTCCAAGTCCAGTTATGCGTGAGTTAGGGTCTAAAATTTTTAATAAATAAAAGTAAAATTTATAAAATAATTTTCGCGCTGCTTTTGGACTCGAGAACTTACAATTCTGTTTCTGTAGGCAATAAATGCTTTAGAAGGACTGCTGAAAATTCCAAATTAATTTAAAAAAAGAAATACATATTTTCCAGAAAATATTCGCAAAAAAAATGAAATAAATTTATGAAATGTACATAAATGTGAATTAAAGTCCCTCGTGAGCTCCAAGATAGTTGCAGAGTATGTATGTATAAGATCGGAGAAATTGATGCGCTTGAATTTTTATGTCACATATAACTGATTGCTCGAATAAGGGATCTCTTATCATGAATCTCACAACTAAGGGTTAATTGACTGAATTTATATCACTAAATTAATACAAATAATGAATTGATATTTCAGCCTAAAATTATTATTTTTGGTTTTAGGAAGTTCGTATCTGAAGTTCTTGGTTACCAGTTTTATCGCTCGTTTTGTCAGCAGAGCCAACACCAAGGATCCTTACATAACTGCGACTTTTATGGAAATGTTGCTATCGGCAACTCCCTGAAGTAAGAAAGAGAATTTGCGATCATTGCCAAACTTCACCTTCATTGCGTGTACATACATATATATATGCGCCCATATTTGTCTTTGTTTTCAGGTCGATGATGTCCTTAGGTTCTTCGAAACCTTGGCACGAAACACTGGAGAAGGTTTTAGGTAAAAATTCGACTCTTAGCGGCGAGGCTTTGCTTGAATATTATAACCCAATGCTGGATTGGCTTAAGGCCAAAAATCGCGAGACTAAAGTGAAGATCGGCTGGAATGCGAGCCAGAAAAGTATTTTCTAAACTGAATGTAATCATAAATGCATATGTACATTAATCCCTCACTATGTCTGTATATTTTCAGAAATACTTTAAATTGGAGTTGGAATTGGTTCAGAGGCTTTTCTACAGCCATATTTTATTTATACAAATATATAACTTTTAAAATTGTTAATTATTATCCATTTCGAAATTCCGTAAATATGTACTCATATTAAATAAACGTAGCTACATACATACATATACTCGTTTCATAATTGTCTTATGGCATTAAATACTGTAATTTTCGTTATTTATTGTTTTTGATCTGCTTAGTCGTCCTCGGGCTCACATCCAACTCTTTTCCGATAACTTCAGGGAGTCATTATAAATTAATTACATATTTATTGGCCAAAATTTATTGAAGTGTGTTTTGATCCATTTTAGACGAAGTGGCACATTGCAAGGTAGTTTCTCTCTTCTCTTTTTGGTTGCCTAGCAAAGTTAATTTTAAGGTATTTTACACTGAAATCCAAACAAGTTTTCCTAGTTGTTGCCAATAAGCTGGAGATGAGTCGAAAGTACTATAATGATTGGCAATTCTATAGAGAACAAGCTATAAATATGTACATATAGATATATATATATATATATATATATATATATACAAAGTCCATATATTGCGTTATACTCGTTCGAATTGAATCAAACTTGTATGTATTAAATTTTGTCATTGCGGAAGAATCGCTAAAATATGAATTGTACGAAATGCGTTCAACTCTTTCACTCACTTTTACTCCTTGTCAAATAAGAAACCGATGTGGAAGTTTTTGTCTTTGAAAGAATATGATAACCAGAATTTAACATTCTCTCGAAGCTAATATGATCATTGGTAACAACACATATAATTGGCACTTATAACCGGTAAAGCGATTTCAGCCGAGCCCCTACGAGTACTCCAATTTGTGTTGTGTTTCCTGATACTTTTTATTTCATGCCAAAAATACACGCGGAGGGCTTGACATTCCCTGCGTAGGAGCGAGGGCTCTTAAAACATATCATCATAAAATGGTATTTCATTGTAGGACTAAATGTTTCATTATTTCTCTATAAATATTTAGCTGTGTGTGTGTAGAAAGCAATTTCCATGTTCATAGACGCTTTTTTGAGGCAGCTTCGACTAAAGCGCTATATCTTAACAAATCGATGCATGATGCAGTACTAATTTATGACTTCGGTCGGAAAAATCGGTCAAATATATGATCGGACCACTGCGATCTGGCCAGTGCAACTGTGTATAAAGTTTGGTTGAAATTTTTCAAAAAGAGAAAGACCAGTTTGCGTACAAGCCGAAGAGCAGGCAGACCCAAACGATATAATTTTTGAAAGCTTTTGCTCTTGACATGAAAGGTATAAAAACATATATATATATATGTAGATTAATATACACGTATATATATAATAGACAAGAAAGATTGCCTGTTCTATAGGACTTCCGAATCACTCGGCAGATTATACTGAAGCATTTTAGTTTGCTTCTATTTTCAAGGGAAGGATCTATTCGAAAAAAGATCGTTTTTATAGTTCATTTTACTTGAAATTATATTTTTTCTAAGATGTGGACTTATCTATTTATAAAAGATACATATATTACGTGTACACACATATTTATAAATAATTGACCAAAATTATGTTCGTTGCTCAATGTTATTGTCTTATGGCTGCGGCTTAAAAGTTTTTCTTACACATTAATTTTATTATGAAAAAGCGTAGATCGGCAGCGATTAAGTGACGAACATATATATATCAAAACTATGGTAAATTGAATAATTTTTATTTAATTATAATAATAAGGGATTCATTCCTTTTAGTATCTATTAAAATAAAAATTGAACGAAATATAAAAAGCAACAACAATGCGTTGCCGATCCCACGACTTTCCGCACTGCATTAAGCACTACCAAATAAATGATTCGCATTCAATAACTGAGGGTTTTGAAATGCGCAATCGAATTTCTTGTCTAAAACTGAATGCAAATACAATATGAAGTCTGGTAGAAAAAAATTAATTATTGAAATTTCCACATTGTGCCTATGAATAATATACATATAGATTGAAACTCTAACTAAAAAAAAAGAATTGTCTTAAATATAAAAACTCATAAACAGTCAGAACTGACCAATCCCGAAATAGAAAGAGAAACTGGCATTAATACCGAGATATTTGTATTTAACAGTTTAAGCGAATGACGAGCTTACCCATCGGCTTATTCCCAAAATTAATTTTAATATGACTGGAATTCGAAGAAGAATTGCAAAGTGGCGCATAAAAGTGCAAACGCATCACTGTTGTATTGAAGCCGAAAATGTTCCATTATTTACTTGGAGGCTTGGCTTTTAAGCAAGAAGTCTACTTATTTAGTAGCATTGTAAAGAATAACGGTAAGCCTTCCCTTTAATGAGTTATTATCTTTAATTCACTTGTAAGATTTGAATAATATAGTTGGCTCCTTACGTAAGATCAGATTCTGATTCGGTCTTGAACAGACAAATATATCAAAGCCTCAAACCATTTAGCTCTTACCAATTGCACACAGACACAGGGTTTTAATTTTCGCTGTACAACTGCGCCCTCTGTTGTTAGCTAGTCGCTTGTGTTTGTGTAGCTCAGTTTGCGGATAAAATTTTATAGGCAATCGCAAAATTATTATTTGTACTCTCCGTTGCAAATTTCTGTGGTCTTTTTCTATGTTCGTTGTCCAACTCTCCATTGCAAACTGTTATACAACTATATACTATACTATAATTATGGTGCTATAATTATGGTATGAAGAGCGCCCACAAACTAGGTGTCGCATGCGACATTTAAAATCCCATGCATACAATAAAAAAAGTTGCATACAATATTCGCATGCTATTTTTTTAATTTAATAAAATAAATTAAATTAAATTAAAATTAAATTAAGGTTAAGGCAAGGGAAATAAATATACGTAAATAAATAACAAATCCTCCTTATCCATAAAAAGTAATTAATTTAATTTTTTTCAATTAATATTTCATTCTATGTTTACGCCAACGAGTTCACTTTGTAACTAACTCATTTCGTAGAAAAACGTAGAACGTAGAACGTTCGCCGTTGGGTCAAATCTTAGCTTAGCTTAGCGATCGATATTGACTTTTTTGCCTGTTCCAATAGGGTCGCGTCTTCAATATCGACTGGTTCCCCATTGGGGCTAAGCGATCTCAAGATTCTCACTCTCATTACATCTTGTTCTCATTAAATTAAACATTCTCTGCTTCAAGTTCGCATTCTAATGCTTGATCTTAGCTTTAAATTATTTACTTTTGCTAATCGAAAACGATTTTCTTGTCGTCTAGGTCGACATTTATGTACTGAAGATCACTTTCTCGGTAAGCAAAAAGAGTATTAATTTCATATCATATTTATTGCGTTATTTCATATTATTATTTAAGAGTTCACATTACTTTATTTTACATTTTTTGGAACTTAACATTATTTAATGAGTAGCTTAAAACTATTAAATTTGAAAATATTTACTTTTTATATAATCTAATTTTTTAAGAACTCATACGTGTACTTGACGACTATTCGCGGAATAAATTAGCACCTTTGTAAACTTTTCGTTAATTATTTGGATAGATCTCGACGTGGATGATAATATTTTGGTCCATAAATGAAGGAAAACACGTTTAAATCCAGATGCGAGTCGGAAACTGCGAAAGCTTCGCTGTGCCAAAGTGGGATGACCGCGGCAACGAGGATGAAAATAACAATCCAAACCGTAAAAACTTGCGGCTTCAACATCTGGATGTGAAATGGTAAGAGACTTTGCATTTTTTGAACGCTTCGCCTTTGCCGTGTTGTTTTGACATCGAGAATCACAATTGAAACTAATTGAAATTCAAAACTGGCTCTAAGCTTTATATTACTATTTATAGGTGCTTACATACATACAAACAAACAGTACAGTCGTATGTCTATCGTACATAAACGGTGATGTTCTAAGCGGATCAGAACCCAGAAATTCGGTATTGGCTGTTGTGCAATTTATTATTATACCTTGGTAAATAAGTACATACGTATGTTTGTATGTATGTATGTATGTATGACTTTTGCGTAGAAAATTAAATTGGGCGATATATTCTTTTATAAGTAAATCCAACTTTATACCCTTCTTCCTATTTGAATGTTTCTATAAGGCGAAAGTGCTGAGAGTTTTTGAGATACACGACTGATGGCGTATTTTGGTATTTCCTATAAATTAAAAATTACATCATCAGAATCATTAATATATATATATATATATATATACAGATATATGGGCAGTCAGTCAGCAGTCAGTAAATATCGCTTCGCCGCTGCTTACAAAGGGCATACAAATTCTCCTACAGCCGAGGGCAGTATTTGTTTCTTTATTGATACATATGTTTGCTAAATACACACATACAAACTTATTCGGCTGCGTATCAGAGTGTGACTTATTAATCCAGTTACAAAAGAAAAATCCACAATCAATAAAAACTTGTCAAGTCTGATCTAACGGCGGAAGCTCGCTGTTTCAATTTGTATTTCTTTCCACCGAGATGGTCCGCACTGCTTTCAGCATACCGAAGTCATCAGAAAGAATTCGCTACTTTGGGATTTCTAAATTCATTCAGAAAACTTTCACGTAGCAGTGATAAACAAATAACTTTCCATTTATGCTTCTATTCATAAGCGTTTTACGTCAAGTTTGTTGTAGGTCTTTCCTGGTGCGTTGGATTTCGTTTCAAAAAAACTTAAACTGTTCGTCACACACTTTCATACACTTTATTTACAAATGTATTCGAAATTTATTGTTTACTCAATTCTCAGCCAATCTGCTTCAATGTTGTTGATGTTTCGGATTGTTTGACTGAACTCCACAATTGTTCAAAAGTTAAATTTAGAAAGATGTATTTCGACAGAGAGGTCAAGAGCCACCAGGAATGGTAGGAAAATTTCGTGTAGCTTAGCAAACCGCCGCAAAAAAGGCAGATTCAAAAACACTTTTATTCTAATCGATTTCATTTTATATCGTGATCGTTGCGAGCTTAAAAACACTTTTTGTTATTAAAAAGTTCGTTCGAAAGTTCTCTACCTGGTCCATGAGCAGCTTATTAAAAAATTTAATTTTTCGTAAACATTTAGGTGGCCGTGGATAGATAGCATTGCGCACTGCCAATCGGAAGGCTCGGGTCAAATCCTGGTTTGACCAACTTCCAAAATAATAGAAAATAATTTTTTCTAGTTACAGTCGCTCCGATCTCCGGCTGTAATTCTGATATGAAATGAAGGCTCCTCATAAAAATCCATCAGCCGTTCCGAGGCGGCTTAGTACCAATTGTAGATCCCTCGATTTTTTGGAAAAACATCACGACGCAAAACCACAAGTTGGAGGAGGAGCTCGGCGGAAAATCTCTTCAGCGCCAATTATATATATATATATATATATATATAAATTTAAAGACTCAGATTCTTATTTTTTGTTATTTAACTCGTCTTGGTTTCATAATGGTAGATAGGAAAAAGTTTTATTTTCCTAAACCAGTTATTGATTCTTCCATGCTAAGCGTGAAATTAAATTTATACCGTCATATATATGTACATACCGACTTTTTGGAATTATATTATTATTTTTTTATTTCTAGTCTTCTTGGCATATTTGGAATTTTCTAATCTAAATTGAATATTTTGATAAATAACATTTGACTAGTTCTTACATTTACATTCCACTGAAGCAAAGCTTAATAAAATATACAAAATCCACAGAGAACTGTGGCATTCACACTTGATTTTGTGCAACTTCCTTATTGAGAGTTTCGATCACATGGGCGATTCGTCGGGCATTAGTAATCTTCCAGGTAACGAAAGCAATTGTGTAAATGAAGAATCCAATGCCTGCAATGAGAAGGCGTCGTAGTTTTCCATTGGTACAGTAGTACTTGGAAGAGGAAGGAGATTGATTCTTACCCAGGAGAAGGATAGCTTCCGAAGTCTGATCGCGTAATGATTTAGAAACGGCGCACAAAAGGATCAGTCCACTTAGCAAGCAAAACGACCCAATTACTGCAGTTAATGTTATAATTATCAACACTGGATCACTTAGCGCATAGTCACAAAAGGATTCACATACGAAGCGATGTTGTGTTTCACTAAAAACAAAAAAAAACACATTATTTCACTAATTACAAGATTTTTTATAAATTTTTTGCGTGTTTTCAATGTTTCAGAAATCTACCGAATTTGGGCTTGGTACGGCGCCGAAATACGTCTGATATTCATGATTGCTGTAAAATAACTGATCTGCATAGATATTATATGCTCCCCTTGTGTGCATCGGGCACAGATAAACAAATGTATCAGAGTATATGCGTGTGTGTACGTATGTATTTGGACATTAAAGAAATCCGTTTTTCGAATTGAATGCACTTTTCTGTTTATCCAGAAAACTTTTCCTCGAGTTTCCTGTGTTTGACGAGCACAACGAAGCCGTCTGTTGTCGTTGAGCAATTTGGTGGCCCCAACGCTCCAAGACTAAACAGATGCTGCGGGTGAATGAAGTGATTCCAAAAATAGACGACTCCGCTCGTGCCATCAGGCAATGTGTGAGTACAACAACAGCGGGGAAGAAATACACTTTATGTCTTACCCTATGCATATTCGCTTGCGTGTATACTCGAAAAACAAATTGAGCCCTTTTGATTCATTGGAGTACCTACCTACGTACCTCTCTGTTATGTGGCATCGGACCACTTCACGTCTCGCCAGCTGCTTAAGTACGAGCATGTGGGGAAAATGAAAATGTATTGAGCTGAAATTGAATCATCGATGAGCTCGGCTGGTAAACAGACGACGTGCTATAGCTTGTCCTAAAATTTTGAAATCTGCATGCTTTTGGAGTACTCTTCATCTTTTTCTTATTATTTAGATAATTGTATTTCTAGAGTAATCGTTCCAGCTTGTTGATGGTGAGAACCAAGAGACTCCAACTCATAATGCATCCTGTTTTGTGTATTTTATCTGCTTCTTTTTGTATTTTTGATAGGATTAAGCATTTGGGTAGTTTTTCAAGAAGTTTCAGAAAAATACTTTCCAAACCGGCTGATCAGTAGACAATGTGCTTTCAACGAGTTGGCTCCACATTCCACACAAACCGAGCGAATATGACTTTATTGCGAAAGATATTTCCGGGATTGCGTCCAATATAGGCATAAAGTGCTTGAAAGTTACCACAAACGGCACGAGTTTGTAAAAATTCGCGAGGTGTACATTTTAATGATGTGGTATTTCACATACAATCCAAGGTTCAAATTTTATAAGAAAAAGTAATCTCATGAAAAAAAATATTTTAAATGCGTTTCGTTAACGTGTATTTTCAAAACCACAAATTGGATAACCCTGTATGCTTGTAAATTATAGGCCGTCATTATTGAGTAATTAAAATATGATTGATCAAATACAACTTTAAATGACCGGTAGAATCTTTTCCTCTATATTGGCTTAGGCACCGCTACCCCGAAAATACCGGAGTCAACAATAACGTGCCATTCATTTCTTCTTTTCGGCCTTGAGCTCCGGCTCCTTAGTATAGATTCTTGTCGAGAAAATAATGGTCACCTGGCAATATATCTAAGCGTCAATTCACCCCAATGCCTCTAATAACAAAAATCGAGCAATCGCATCGCCACTTCAACAGAAATGACGTAAGGATTATTGAAATTTCTGCTGGCTCGGAAGGTCAGGGTTCGGTTCCTGGTCTGACCAACACCCAAAAATGATAGAAAAATTGTTTAAATAATAATTTAACTACGGTCGCTAATAAACTGTCGGTCCGTCCATTTGTTGGAAAACATCAATTCCCATACAACAAAAATGGAGGAGGAGGAGCTCGGCCAAAAACCGATTATACAAGCGTCAAATTATATATATATATGCATATGTATGCAGTTTGTGGGTATGAAAAGTATATATATAGTATATTATTCCCTTGAAGACGGCAGTTCGGTGAAGAAAGTCAATATACTTATATATATATTATATACAATATATATATTATATAAAAAAAGAACACTAGCTGATATCCAATCCAGTATGAGCTTTGTAGAGGAGTTCAACGTAAATTAAGTTAAAAAATTGTGTTATGAAATACGGTTGAAAGTAACACAACAACAATTTTTTTATATTACTTCTATGCCAAATCTCGAATTCTCCAACATAAATTTTTCCGCTTACTTCGATTGTTAAAACACTATGTAAGTATACAAAAACAATTTATAAAAATAGCTGCACGCGCTTACCTATTTATTCGGCTCTGACTCTGGCCTCTGTTCACTTCCAAAGATGGGGAAAATTTTCTCTGGCCATAAATTGGCGACCAGTTTTGCAGTTGAAGCCAACCGCGATTTCTCTTCACATCGTGAAAGGATGAGAAAGGTTATTTAGCGTTGACAGCACGTGCCGAAGGGTGGAATGCCCAAACACATATATACATAAAGGGCAAGAGGCGAGAAATTGTCGCAAACCAACATAAGGCCACGAGCGTAACAAAACGTTATTGTGTAGGATCCGGAAGTAAGTTTGCTCACTTTCTATTGATTCTAATGCTCCAACCCACTACCAAAGCGAGTAAATTATAAATATGTTAGCACATACACGTATGTATGTGTGCACATATAATATGTATGCGTATACATACATATATATATTGGTATAAATGGATACATTGAACTACAGAGATATTGAACGAACATTAGGTCACATGTTTGCATGCATATGAGAATACATACATACATACATACTTACATAAATTATATTTAAACTCACCAGAGCACGCGCTCAACCACAAAACGCAATAAAAATGTAATTTACTAAATTTACTTGCAGGCGTCGTACACGAATACTTACTTTATGGCTTGGAGAAACGGTGTATGCATATACATCTGTCTGTGTATGTGTGCTTTTGTGTGTTTTATGTAAATGTATTTGTAATATTGAATGGTGTAGGTGGGAAATGACTTTTCTACGTGAATAACAGTTTTGTAAAGGGATAAGACGCCATACACCTTGCCGACATACATACATATGTATGTATGTAAATATAATATGATGGTATGAAGTCCGCTCCGAGACTAGCTTCATGATTGATCGGAATGTCCAGTCCCTTATTGAGAACAGCCCAGATTCGTTGTTATAGAAAATTAATTTAAAAAAATTAAATTGAATTCAATTTAAAAAGGATATTTTTGTTTCTTTGAAAACATGAGCTTTGTTTGATCTTTGGATTCCAGCCAGAACAATATTCTACTTTACAAACTTTTGTCATTATGGCTCACAATTCTATCTGATCGCAAAGGATAGAAGAGAGGATGAGCTCGGCCGAAAATCGGTTTAACGGTTTTAAATCGCCAATGTGTATATATGTACATTTATATTACAATGGGCCATAGACATGGACTAAGGTATACGCGCGATATAGGTTAAAAGGATTCATTTTTGGATGGCGGGTTCTTTAAAATTTGTAACAACAATATTTTTTGTATACTTATTACATCAGAATTTGGGCAAACGTAAAATGCGACCGAGAACCGGAAACACTTTGCCAGGTAAATGCTGAGTGCTCCCATCTGAAACAATGAATATATATATCCATATCTATACTGATGGATCTAAATTTGAGGTAGGCAAAGGAGTAGGGCCCTTTCGTAGACAGTCAAGCGGAAATTAAGGCGGTCAAGTTAGTAAACAACAAAAAAAAAAAAAAAAAAAAAAAAAAAAAAAAAAAAAACAATTAAGGTCTTCCTACTTGGGACAGGATGTAATAATGCACTGGAGCACCCCCTCGTTTCACAAATTTGGAAGAGCCAAAGGCTCATGTGATTGCTTGTTCTTCCTTCCATTTGAACAAATTACACAAAAAAAAATACATTGAACGATTTTCATCATTGACATATCACAACTATAACTACACAAACAAAATACATAGGCTTTTTGTTTTTGTATTCTTGTTAGTACCATGTGCTGATTTGCTTTGGTTAAAAGTATCAAAGCTTTCCCAAAAGAAATAATCATTAAAATTAGACATCACCAGCCATCAATGAATTAAAAGAGCGTAAGCAATAATACTCTCTGAAAAATAAAAATTTCCGAAATAGCAAAATTATCCATCACTATTCAGGCAGCTAAAACATCAGCAGTTTTCTACTTTTTGATTTTTTGCTTTTTACAAATTAAAATAAAAATTTAATACAAAATGACTGGAAACAGAAAGCTGGATGGGGAATATATCAATTAGTTTATAAAAATATATTCTTTACTATATTATCCACTAAAATTCGAGCAATTTATTACTCTTTCGCATACAAAATTTCTTTATGGATCTCCAGTTGAAAGTTCGCCATGTTCTCGATAATCATCGCCAACACTTTCAGATGCACTTTCCATATTAAAATCGAGTTCATCTTCCGTTGACACAACAGGCAAAAAGTACAAAGTGGCAAAGATTTTTGCTTCCACGCAATTCGCACTAATACAGTTGCCTAAATCTCTGTATAAGTTTGTGCTCTGTAGCAACACACACACACACAGCTCAACTTTTTATTGAAAAATATAATATTTGTTACCTCGTTAGATATGCATTATTCCTATACAGCGTGATTAAATACTTTTTATATGGATAAGCTGAATCTGCCAATCAATAATAGTCTGGAATTATAACACAATAAATGGGTAATTTATGAAAAATTGAAGAATTTTAAGTACCCCACCATCATGACAGGAACCAGGGAATCCAAAAACTGCATTAGAATATTTTTTTCTTTTCATTGCAGATATTCTTTCCGGTCAATAAAGTCGAAAATGGTCTATTACGATATGGGTCTTGGCCTTTCACCCTAAATGTTTATAATGGCTTAATTTCATATCTTACCTTTAGCGTTGGAACATAACCGTTTGCTGGCATTGGCTTGATTCTGTTTCTCTTGGCCATTTTATGATGTTTGGGCTCATAGAACTCAAAAAGACTTCGAGAAATTCTAAAATGGCAGCGAAATTTCTTTAAGCATTATCATGTCTTCGTCCTTGTCATTTTCTGAATATGAAGAGTTCCCAAAAAATTAATTCATTACACACACAATTTCAATTTTAAAAAATTTAGCCTCCCTTCCATGGGAGCAAATTCGTCCACATCAATTAACATTGCAACCTACAATAAATTATGAAAATAATTTTGCTTTTACAAAGGATGTTTTTGAAGTGTTTAAAAAGATATTATTATCTGAATTATAACCGTTTAACAAAAGATATTATAAAAGATGACATTTAGTAAATTATAATAATTGCCTTGAAGGATATGGACGGAAAATATTTCCCATGTAGTGCAGTTGAGTGCGGCAGAGCCTTTAATCACAGTTCACAGTGCAAATCAGTTCTCTCAACTCCTGTTATTGCTCCCATCTTATATGCGAGAGAGGTACTTGCTACGTATCGACGAAAGAGAAGGGCAAGGTGATTAAAGATGAACAGAATTGCGCTCCTATTTCCTGAAAACATACACGTATGGTAGGTTGGGAAGATATCCCACAGAACTGCAGAATTTTAGAGCATTTTCTTGTTTGAATGCTATTTTCCGAGCTCTCCACTAGTCTAGTACAATAATTAAAAATCTCAATAAAAAATTAAGGAAAATTTCAAACAGCGTACAAAAATAAAATTTCTTGAAGTTGATGTCAAACAGTGGGTTCGCATGTTTGGGTTACTAAAATGTAAAACTAATATACATATGTACGTGTGTACATATCAAACCACTTAAACTTTTAGGTTAGCATGGTCTCATTCGACTCCTTAGTCGCCTGCCCTTGGGTACATCTTAAAGATATACATTTTTGCTGGAGTAAACGGTGGAATTGAACCAATATCTATCAATTTCAACTACAGCATTGCACATTAGAACCGTTAAGGCTTGTAGGCTTTAAAGCATATTTTAGCCACAAACCATACCTCGATCATTCAACACTCGGTGTATGTATGTTTGAAAACAGTTCTCATTGCCAATAAAAGAGAGACAGTTGAAGCATATATAATATTTGAATATATGTACATATGTATACACGTATGTATGTACGAACGAAAAACTGCATGCAAAATTAACAAAATCGAATTAATTCAACAACAGCGTTCTTTTCGTTCGACTCAAAGGCTACCTGCTAGGCCGTGGTTAAGTAATTTTTTGGCAAGCGCCTTATAATTTTTGTTGTGGCAAACACAAAATCAGAGAAAGCTTACAAAAATGCAAAATTACTGCTTTAGGAAATAGTATTACATGTTGTACTATGAATGGATTGCCAAAAGAAAAACTATTAATAATGTGCAGCGCAGCGGTAAACTTAGCTTAACCACTCTGCCCCAAACTGAGCCAAAAAAAACTTTGTCTGCATAAGCGCGGAATTGCCAAATGATAATAATTATTAGATTAAGTAAATCATATTTGCTCGATTTAAAATGAATTTCACATGCAAAAGTAAATTAAATGTTTGCGATTCATACTTTGCGGCTAAGAAAAATAATGATTGATTTTTTTTTAAGTAATATAAGTCGCAAACATATTTAGCGAAAACACAGAAACTTCAAGAAATTTTTTTTTCAGTTCATGGAAGCTTACCGAGCTTATTACTCAAAACTTATACTGCAAATAAAAGTAATTTATCAATTTGATTACTTTTATTAGTGCTTTATAATACATATTTGATTTTAAAATCTCGTCATTAATAATGCCAACGTTTCTCAGTGTGAAAACAGTTGTAGTCCTGTAGTCCTTGTCCGCTGATAGCTATGAAGTTAAAACTAAGAGTTACGAAGTACAACACGGTTTTCATGGCGAACAACGACATCAACGATGCTCATGTTTGGAGTTAAGAAATTAATAAGTCGGTCAGCACCAACGCGTGAAAGTCGGTCGAATGGATAGCCCATGGCACGGCGATCTGGATACAGGCGATCCCGAACACCACAGTAGGAAGCCGCGTCACTACAGGATCCAACTAATTGTTGTTCAATCTGTGAAAAAGTATTGAAATTTAAGAAAAATTGTTTATGTACTTGCTTAAATGTATAAATTTTCCCTGACCCTATCTTGATCATAGTTAGATATCATAACAAACAGTTCGCAACGTAGACCTTCAGGTAGGCCTTTCGGAATAAGCATGTGATTGGGCCATCCGCAGCCGCAGAAATTGAATTCTAATTCTTCAGCGCTTCCTGCTGCTGGACGGCTTGCCTCTAAATTGCGGAAGGTACGATCGAAAGGAATTGTTACGCTAGATTCGGTTGAACGTCGTCGAATGGTATTTTGACCGGGATTAACTGCCAAATATGGTTAAGGAGAGTTCGTGAATTAATGTCAATCATACGGCAGTAAATACTCACGTGATACAACGAATTTATCCAACTCAATCATCAGCAGACGTTGGTCCTTGAATAACATCCCTTGTCCACGTTCATCCGTCTTGGGTCCCAAGAAGATGCGTACAGTACCAAATCGTTGGGCACCACTGTCATTATTCACGTTAATGGTGTAAGTGAACGGGGTATGTTGTAGATGGGTAAAACGTGCAAAAACATTGCCTCGTGGCACAAAATCCATTCCTCTGGATAGGTCAACGTCAGATTGTTGCCAAAATGTTTGAAGTACATTTGGTCGACCACCCTCTGGGCTTACTTGTACACCGGTAACAGAGACACCGTCGTAGCTTAGGTCCGGCACGCTGTATGGTGAAAGTCGTGCCTTATGTTCTTGGAAGATATCATCAATATATGCATGCCATCTATAGAAAACGGGATCACGCATCGCGGTTGCGGAGTCACCCATTACACCAAATGATTCCAAATGGCGGTGATCGGGGTCATGGGAGTATGATATGAAAACGTGACCCATATTGTGGAAATCACCATATAACCTACGATTTGGGGAAACAATAGACGATTCCATCATGTTGCCCAATACGTCAATGCCACGTACGTCGTCTAATGGCACTTGATTGCCGCTTTCCTAAAAACGGATAAGCTCATTTAAAAAGTGAGACGACGATATTATGTAATCGTTTACTTACATCAGTGGCAAATCCTTGTGATATTGCTTCAAAGATACGATCTCTCCAACGTTCCAAGTCACTAACATCCAAATTAATCTGATCCAATTCTCGGTTGAGATCTGATAATTTTGTATCTTCAAATCGTGGAGGCCAAGCACGACTTGATACCAATGAATCCATCTTTGGAAAATAGCCCTCTGCGATGGGTTCACGCAAATTATTAAAACGCACAACGCGAGCTAAATTATTACTGAAACGCTCTAGGTTATAGCGAGCCACCACTTGTTGATGCATGTAATAGAAGAGTTCACCACGGCGATCCTTGTTCACAACATCACGATTGCCGGCTTCGAAAGGGTACACCAAATGCCAATGCCAATGATGAAGATTAATACCAAGATCTTCGCGGAAATACCAAAGCCTATGCTCGGGTTCAAGGTCTGAGGCAGTGTAATCGCGTGGTATAGTAATTGGCATGCGCGATCCTTCCGGCACTACAGTAGCTTCCTCTCGTATTTGACGAAAAACTTGAGAGTCTACAAATTTATCGGGAAAATTCTGTGCGAAGGATGGCAGATCCAGTCCTTTTGTGTCTGGACGATGCAGCAGGGCTACAGAAAGTGAGTAATTAAATAAATATGGATTCACACGATCACGTGCGTACACTGCCACGCTCTGTAGATCTTCTACGGACCGCACACCCATGAAAATGTCAATCAGACGTCCAGCGATACGGCGATGAGCTGGTATAAAGAGTGAAAATTGTGCATCACGTGGTAGAGACATAGGGATGCGAAGATCTGGAATAGCTATGTCTCTAACGGGAATGCGCTGTTCCGCCTTTTCGCCGAACCTACTCTGTACCTCAGTGCTTATAGGACGATAACGATCCGTAAGGAACTTGTCGGGAACATCAAACACCGCAGCCTTTCCCTTCTCCATAAAAACGGGCTCATTCGGACGATCGAAGAGCAACAGCAGATTCTTTTTGTCGGCCATTATTATCGGCGGTTGTATAAAAAAAATTAAATTTTTTACAATTGAAGGTTGCACAAAATATACACAACGGTAGTTTCAGTTCGAGACTGTGGATTAGCAATGAAGAGGGGCCCTTTTTATACTGCTCAACAAACTACCGTCACCACCACTGCTAATGGATACAGCTGTGAGTATTAGGATTGCGGTGAAAATCGCTACAATGTATTCCACACATTTATTCTTCAGATAAGTGACTTTGTGTGATATGCAGTTAAAAATGTATATGTATGTATGTAACTTTGGCATTTTGGTTAGAATATTGATAGTAAAAATCGGTAAAGCTGGTCGCATAAGTCCATTAGATATCAGAAAGAAAAACCTCAGGCGATGATAGAAAATGAGCGCAAACGCAAGCTATCAAAACTTTTTATTTAAATTTGAAAACTACAGGAATTACAATAACTAAGAAGGAGTTATGCAAATGTGGCTAGATTTTTAATACGAATCGTCAATGTAGCGTAAAAATGATGATTGTTTTTTAACAGCCGTGACAAGATCTCCATTTTTTGTTAGTGTTTTTGGTTATATTTTTTCGCTTTCTTGTGCTGAAACTGTAGATTTCTTTGTCGTCCTGGATAGTAGATGTACGGTAAATGATTAATAGGAAAATATTTGAGGAATAAATGCGAAATTTCTTAATTACCAAGGACCTGAGGAAATTTATGTTTGCCTTCAGGCCTTGCCAAGCAGCACTATTACACACAATTACCTTGTGAATGATTTATTAACTGTTGCAAGGTATTTGTTAAGTCGTATGATAATATTCGCTTAAAATAAAACATTGAGCGGAAAACTCAAATAAGTGTGAAGAAAATCACGTTCTATCGGGAAAGATAGTGGGGAAACACAGGAAAGACCGCGTAAGGCTTCACGTTGAGATGGGAGGGATCTCGGTAGTTTTAGAATATTCTCATCTATGGGCAGTCCCTAATAAGTTCTATTACTTTCTTAGTTCCCGTTGGAACTAGAAAACTGGGAGGAAATTTGATAAATAGGTTAACTTTGGTTATCATGTGATGCAACGGCTTCCAGTTCAGAGTAAAAATTAAGACTGCTTCTGTTAACACCTTCGCTTGGTTAAATGGTTGAGTAAAGAATTTTACTGTTTACTTTTACAAACATATATATATGTTTCTACGTATAATAGCAGCAATGTGCTAAAATTGTCATATTATTCCGTTTTCAGTTGGTAGTTAACTTTTCGAAGCGCTCAGTTGCTCTTTTCTTTCGTCTCAAGTAAACTGGATTTCAGGAGAAAATAAAAATTCTGTCGGCGGCAGCATAAAGCATAAAATATAAAATTAAATTGAAACATTTTTTCGTTTTGCTGCCGCGTTTTACTTTTTACTGAGCTGTGTTTCACCTCAGGTTACACATTGACATTTACATATGTACGTATGTATTTATATTGTATTTGTGTACGTTGCGTTTTCTTCTTTGAGGCTTTTCTCACTTTTCAAGATGAAGATGATAATAAAGGCGTTGCGGAGTAGTTTCTTCTCTCCCAATCCAGCATTCATTCGTTAATAGATGAAGGTGTGCGTTGGATGTTGTTATTATGTTATTATGGCGCAGCAGCGAGCTTAAGATTTTAATTAAAAGGATAACTCGCTATACAAAATTGTTACTTTTTAAAATAATGTTATTTCCTTTCAAATCTCTGCACCTGCACTTAATGCCTTTTTGTGGATGGCTTTTGTTGGTTGCTCATAGTCAGCTAATTTCGGATTACAAAATGAATCTTTCTAAGAGGAAATAAAAAAATTTTCATTTCTCGTTTACGAGTATAACCACAGATAGCATACAGTAAGTACTAGGTGGGCTCGGTTGACTAAGTTTGATTTTTTAAATATGTGTATGTATATGTATTTCAAAAAATTTTAATTTTCTTTTTGCAGTTTTACACATTCATTGAAAATTGTACATACTTTGTAATTAATTTAATTTGTGCGTCATGTGGTCGTGATTGTATTCAATGCTACAGTAATATTATTGAGTAATAATCAAATATTGGAAAAGCAAATCAGTTTGTCCGAAAACTATTATTTGTAAGCAAAGTAAAACAAATAAAATCATGTTGAATTTTGTTACAGTAAGTTAACTTTATTTAACACAGCACAGCAGAAACTAGCAATTGGAATGTTTAAGATTTCTTTTTCGGCCATCATAAGCTTCTTCTATATTTCGCAAGGTAACATTATTTGCAGTGCAGCATAGTGTCTATCAAAACACGAAAGATTCATGTCTTTTATTTCTGTCTTCTTTTTTTATTTTTGTTTGAAAATTTTCTGACTATTCCTACGTGCCTCAAGTTGTTGGATAAGTAGACAGCTTTCTCGCTTCTTCATGACAAGTCGGCTCTCTTACTACAAAACCATGATGCTTCTTTGTGAAAAAACGCACGATTTCTCATAATATATTTTAAATAGTAGTAAAAAGTTTTGAATTTCATTGAAAACATTTGTTAGGCAGCCAGGCTGGCAAAGAGGCTGGTTGAGTTTGTTTATATTTAGTATTTTTTGATTATTTAAATATTTATTTATTTGCATATATTTTTTTACATTTGATAATTTTTTTGGTAAGCTTATATGAATGTGCATATAATATATAAATAATTATTAATGATTTCAGGTGACTTTAATGAATTTATCCTTGAGAATTTGTTGGTATGTGAACTTGTGGGAGCTTTTGCATTTCAGGTATATGCAAGACGTGACGAAAATTACTGCAGCATTTTTTTGCCTTGTCAATATGCAAAAGGTTCTTCTTGCAAGGCAGCTGCTTATCTATGTCGTTGAGAATCGTCGTACGTTTGAACGTGGAAAGTTAGCATATGAAGAAATAGCGATGACAACCAAAATACATGTCCAGCAAAGAAGCTGCATTGAAGAAGACACAATAACAATAACCACAACCTACTATAAATATGATAACTATTATCAAATGTTAACGGATGTACATATATTTTTACCGAGATACAAAAAGATTAAAAGATAATAAGGGCATAAATATGTTCTTCAAACGTTACTTTTGCTACAGAAAACCGTAAAAAAGATTTTATAAGTTTTTTAGGAATGGAAAGTCGATCAATAAATGTAGTTTGCTTCCCTAAAGCTAAAGGTGAAGAACAAAATAGCAAATCTGCCGACCAATTAACCAAAATTAGCTGATAAATAACTGGTCAAATGCAAGTCTTCCTTCAAGCGAAGCCAATTTTCTCTGCTTCCCAGCGTAGCAGATGCCTATTTATTCGTAACAAAGAATGAAATGGAGTTATCTGTGAAATAACCACGTGGCGAATTTCGAGATCAAAGCGTATGGAATCTTGGGTAACACCTAAAAGAGAAGAAGCTTCAATGGAGCATCTCAGTAAAATCTCAGACAAAAGAGGCATATTTGGTACAACGGCCAAAAAATTCAGCCCCTACGACGATACAGATGATTGGCTTAGTACCAGATTCCGACCCAATATTTTTCTACTCGACCTGCACTCCCGCTCTCCCAAGGCACTTGCCGATCGTTCGTTGCAAGGAAATTATGGGTCGGTATTAAACAACCATCCCACAATAATGCAGTGACAACGATGAGCTAATGGATTCTTCAATCTTCGCAGTGTGTTATATTATGAATTTTGGTACTAAGGATAGAGGTGAAAGGAAGAAAAGGAAAAGGTAGATCGGGAAACCGGGCAATAAAGTTTTATTTCGCGAATAAGATGGATGAATTCGTTTCTAACATGAATATCTTAATTATTAAGCAGTTCTAAAAACATCAAATGATCTATTTTGCGTAGGGTTGCCATTAAAATTTTATTAATTAATCGCCGAAGATAGAAAAAGAAAACGCCAAAACGTTAGCACTTTTATTAAAAGGTACTTGAAGAACGATGTTCAGAGTATATGGAGCTTATGCCTGCTATCTGAAAAGCCAATCGATGACGTTGGTACGAATGTGCCATCATCTGACCATGATGTTCGTATAGCGACTGGTCGATTTAAAACTAACAAGGCTTCCTTGCAGAAAATGGAACGATGAGCTGTAAAAAAAGCTGAAAAATATGACGACATTGAGATATTTTAGTGAATTAAAAGACAGCGGCAACGTTAGCTGGACCACGTCATTCGGATGTTGTTTCCAGGAAGAGTTTGCTATTACCCGATGACTTCAATAGAAGCTCCAAATGATTGCTAGAGTAAATATTTTCCCTTTTTTTTTTTTTTGTTGTGTAGAAAATTACAAATTCCCTGACTCTGCCTATTGCAGAGCTTACCTTTTTGAACACAAAATATCTAAAAACCTTTTTGTGGAATACGACGGAAGAAATGTAGTAATTAGACCAGCCTCATAAGTGTCGCCCTAGATTTAATATGGACACTTAAGAAGTAAGGCCGCAAAAAATCAACTTTAGACTAACCATAGTATAGGTCCGTAATATGAGCTGCTCTCGGCTGGACAATCGATTTGCATTACTCAGTGCTTTCTACGAAGAAAATAAACGGTTAAAACACGTTTCCAGCTCCTCTCATACCACCTCAACACCTTTTATGCAGCCGCAATAGCCCAGTGGTAAACAGGCCGTACTACCATTCGGAAGGACAGAGTTCGCGCCGTGGTCCTACCAACATCCAAAACTGAAGAAAATTATATTTCTAATTGCGGTCGCCTTTCAGCAGGGAATGCCAAATAAAAAACACCTCATAAAAAGTACTACTAGCACAAATGCCGTTCACAAACTGACGTTGAAGGATCTCACAAAAAGCAGGCCATCACATAATGAAGAGCAATGGCGCGCGCGACTGTTAGCTGAGCATTCAACGGAAGAATTTAAAACAACATTGGGTGGAAAGTAGAACAATGCACTGAGAGCAAAGATTATCTAAGCACAACTGCGATGCTCTCAACGTTCGATGCATTATAATTATAAAACACACGCTCCCCCTCGTACAGACATGAGAATGTACATACATACAACTAATAACGAGTATACACATTTTAAATAGTTCTCGTACGTATGCAAAATTACTCTTATTATAT